GTGGGGGGGGGGGTTTGGGGTGGGGGTGGAGAATGAGGGCCTACCTTCTCCTCCTCAGCAGTTTGCTCCGATTTTTCGGGGAACACGCCTGCCCGCAACAGAGCACCCTTCCAGTTGTCGCGAGCGTCCACAGTGTCGGCTGCCAAGTCGAGGGTCTTGAATTCCTTGTAGACGTTCACTTTGGGATCGGGGTGGAAGAGACTGAAGTTGGGACGTCGTGAAAAGAAGGAGGTGTCGCCACCGCGCTGCTTCAAGCCCTCCAGGGGCAGAACAAACTTTTTTTCGCGTTCCTTTAAAAAAAGAGGGGGAAGATCATCTTCAAAGATGTCCAAGTACAAGAGAACACCGAGCACAAGATGTACCAAATTAAGGGCTTTTCCGGAATGTTGAACCTTAGGTGTGCTAAAATAGCATTGCCGAAAAAACTCAAACGCTTGGTGGCCGCAGTTTGGGTCGAAATCGTGTTCAGATTGTCACAACTGCGTGTACGGTTACCTTGAAATCAACCAACCACTTTGCACTATCGATTGGCAATGTCGTAGATGTTATCATCCAACGTGGCAGTGTGTGATAATTAGGGCTTTGATACGAAGTGACAAAACAATGATCCTGGTGTGGGAAATAACGCGTCGATGCACAAACACCACTAGCGCCGATGTCTGCCTCGCGGTATTTTACTGATACCCTCTCTAACATGTGTGAAATGCTCTTAACGTGTACAAAGGTCGGATTGGTGTGGACTTCGTTCGTCTTCTCGCCCTTCTCACTTACATAGAAATTAATTTAAATAACTCGAGGATAAACTGCATTCGCCTGACAAATACGTGCATGAATTTGTAAGATAACCGAGTGTTACCTAACGAGTAAGTAGTTTTTACATACAGTTTGCTGTGGTAATTTAGAGTAAAATGGGGGCCGTGAGAAGCCTTACTTCGTCATCGCGGTACCAGGTCAGGGATTCGGTTGTGAGAACAAACCAAAAGTACTTGCTGCCACCGCGCAACAACTTCCCGTTCAGTAGGGTTAGCCAGCCTTTGCAGATGATCTAGAAACAAAAAGGGAAAAAAACAAGCAGGTTACGGCGAAAGGTGTTCTGAGACACGAAGGAGTGGTTCGTAATTCGTCGAGGAGGTCAATCCAGGCCTAGGCAGTTTCGTGACCTTGTAGACGTGGACCCGTAAACTAGATTTGATCAACTACGTCACTAACGAGTCCGTAATGTGGGAAAATGTGCTAAACACGGGGTTAGTGAGAATTTACTCGTGGATTAGACGACAGCACCCTCAAGTGGGTTACTTGTAGAAGCCTGCGATGGACTTAAGCACGACCAAGCTGTATTCACAGGTCAGAATCCTAGCAGCAGGTCTACAACGCAACAACGAGGAGCTATGGGGTGCTGATTGAGAAGCTAGCTAATGATCTACTAACGCTACAACTCGAAAGGAGCTTAATATAGGCAATAGAGAGGGGGAGGGAGGTCCTCATAGTGACATTCGTGCATAAAAAGTGATGAGCAACTCCAGATTATAAAGCATTTCATAGTCTACTTTGATGACTAGGCGAATACCCACCGCCGAAATCTCACAAAAAGGCACTTAAGGCACACTAAATACACATTAGATCAAGTGAATGAGCATCAAAACGACAGAGGGAGGCGTAACTGCTGTGTAGACATTACAATTCACTGATCGGTGGTGCAGAAGATCCTATCTTGGATGGTGACATTTTGACAAAGTGTTCGGATAGGGAAGATACCTGAAGCCTAGGATCGCAGCGAGGACATTCAAAGCCAACACAAAATGTAGAAAGCAACCAAAGAGCGCATGGCGCACGCAATGTGGCAGGGGTTCGAGACCCCAAATCCACAAATTTCGTCTTGCACACCTAGTGATCAATAGACAGGATCGGAGAAGACTTTTTAAGATGTAGTGTTATGCGTTGAGGCAAAGTTAGCATGCAGGAATAGTAAGTCTAGAACACAGCCATTTCATCACATAGTGCAATTATAAAAGGTCAAAGGGAGGTCAACAGTCGGGGTGAGCGCTAACTCCCCTTTCAAGCACTCATCAGACATTGTAAGTGATCGCGATAGCTAGACAATAGAAGCGCATTGTGGTGGAATAGGGAAGGTTGTAAGTAATTGGAACACACGAGGCCTCAGTGCATTCAGACTGAAATGAAGCATTCACGAAAAAATCGGTAGTTATGGAAGACACCAAATAGCATCTACTAAGTGGAGTCGTGAGTTGTGCGGTGCGTGTGCCAGTACTCAACACGTCAATCGGGAATCTGAACTACGTGAGTGTGGCCAATGTAGCGCGGGTACGTGTTGACACTGTCGGGATTGGCCGATCAGGAATGAGAGCGATGCCAAACGATTCGGATGAAGGTTCAGGAGGTGTGACGAGCTGTCATCAAAACACAGTCTCAACGCTATCATTATCGACCGGGCTATGGCCTGGAATCAACTCCCAAACAGACATCCACTCTAACACTTTGCCAATTAATATGAGCCCAAACTTTGAAAAAAAAACCAAAGCTAAATCAATTGCTCGCGTCTGACTGTTCTTGCAGGCCCAATCACGCCTAGCAAGCGAAATCTACAAATCCTACTTCGATATGTTGATAGTGCACGATTACGTAGTTGCCAACGCGTTGCCAAGGTTACGACTCCATAAATCGCACGTCTGATGGTAGGCATGACCACATTGTATCGGGGAAAAGAGAGGTGCCTATGCGTGCATTGCCATGACGAGAAAAACGTGCTGAATGAAGCCTTTTTCGCTGGGGCAATTCGCATCCCAGAATCAAACACTCTGCACTTGTAGTAAACACGTGTGATTCGCGACCCGCGTTCATCAACGCTCAACGAAATAAAGGCAGGGGGTAAACCAGAACTGGGATTAACGATTTTCAGTACACGGACACACGACTTCACCGCATCAATTACCGCCGTCATGAGATTACACTTCCAATGCCTCCCGATTCCGCCTTCAACCTCTCATGCAGTTGGAGGTGTTCAAATTCAAGCTGCGGTACCCCAACACCCGACGTAATTTCTACAGACGAGATATATCGGCAGGCATCAGTACTCCTGGTCTGCAGACATACCAAGTGCTGGTGTTTGCAGTAGCTACAGCCTTAGGGGTGCGGAAGTGAATACCTTAAGGCTTGCTCAGGCCGTAAGACCTTGAGCTAACAAGGAGTTGCGCACATGTGTGATTTGTAAGACCACTACCGAATCAAAGCTATCCAATGGAAATGACCAGAGAGTCAGCGAAACCAGAGGTGCACATCTACCAAAACCGGAGAATCATGAACACGAAAAAAAAAACAGATCAAACGACAGCCACGACACAACACAAAGCACCATGAGAACAAATTGCTGGGGGAAAACAGAGCAAAGCAGGTGGCAGGTGCTAACCGTGTTGACATTGCGATGACGCAGCTCGGGGGACTAGGAGAAAAGATAGACACGGGTAAAATTGAAAGCAATAAATCGCACTCCTGCCTCGTCGCATCCAACGTCAATCGGGCGGTGTTATAAAATCGCCATTAAAGGCATGTGATTAACGTATGGGTTTTTTTTCTTAGAACCACGGTCGACTTACCTGGTTGCCGAGTTTTTGCTTTGCTATCTGGTTCGAATTTTGCGGATCAGCGCTACAAGTTGAAAAAAAAGGTGTGATGTGATTGCCACGGCGTAAACACCAACATTGACCCACAAACGTTGACTCCAGACTGCTTCTTTGTAAACCGCATTTTAGTGAGGACTAGTACACAGATGGGAATGCCGGTTCGTCAGCGCATCACGATAAACAGCGACTTAAGAGCCACGTAAGACGGCCCCATCCAAGCGCCGCACTTCTGGTGGCTGAATGACCTACTCGCAGATTTGCACCAGGGCAGTAGTGTAAACACACTTAGCCACTGAGACGAATTCCAAGCAGCACAGTGATTTGACGGTCAGAGAACCAATAAGAAGTAACTAAGTTCTCATTATGCAGTAGCACGTCAATCTGGTAAGCGTAATTTGGACAATAGGCTGACGCCGATCGCGCCCTCAGTACACGCGGATCAGAACAACGAGGCAATAGTAAAGACTACCGATGAACGACTTTGGAATTGTTCGGCGCCCAGAGGCTATTCAAAAGAGATTTTTCTGGGATTGCATAACAATGTCACAAAGAGCAATAATGACGACAACAGAGGGCGTACTTGTTAAACCCAATAAAGTCCTCGTGGTTGGTATTCATGTAGGCGAGTTGGTAGTCCGATAAGGCCTTCAGTTGGTCCTTCGTTTTCACCTCAGACTCGCGAATGCGTAAGTTGATGGTGCGTTCAACTTCGTCGGCGAGAAGCGGGTAGCTGGCCATCTGAAGGCAGGGTGGAAGGAAGCTTATTCACAACCAAATCAACGATAGGACTTCATCACGCATGCAGGGGGCCTTTTACGAGGCGCAAAATGACCACTGAGATTTGAGAGGGAATTTTCCCTCAAAACACTGATTGGCCGCTTACCAAACGCGACATTTTAGTGGTAGGAGATCACGATTGTCAATCAGAGCCACTAAGCAGCGCTAACCAGTGTAGAAGGGCAGATTTCGTGGGTATACACGGGATTCCTAGGTTTCGACTTTAGAGGGCCATGGTCTGCCGAGGTGACTTCGCTAACTCCTAACGTACCCTCCCTCCTTCCCTTTTGCGTTACAGGTACTCTAGGGGTGAGCGCCGTGGTGATGACTCAGTGTAGTTCACACCTGCAAGCATGCACTTACTTGGCCGAGGCAGCCGTGAACGATGGACGAGAGTTTGGTCACCACTTGGTCGACGCAAGCCAACGAAGGTGCCAAAAGACGGCCAATTCGTTCCCTGACAATCACATCGAAGGCCTGGTCCGGCGTGAAGAGACCACCCCTGTAGAGACAAGACTTTTAAATTGTTGCAGTTTTTTGAGTTTTGTTTTTGTTTTGCCCAGTTTCGGTAAGAGTTTAAGCAGGATCATGAGTGCGATCAGAAATTGGCGAATTTACTGCAGTAATAATAATAATAATTGATGTTTGGCAAAGTCGACATAGGTAATTTGAATCATTCACCGGCACAGTGAAAACCTCTGTGTGCCACAAGAACCTACGTGAACTTTGTTCCGAGAAAATAATGACATTAGGTCCAACGTATCGGAGAACGCACACACAAAAACAGAGACTGGAACAGTCATCTGACATAAGACCGTAAAAACGAGGTATGATTGAACTATGAGCAGTCAGAGCACAAAAATGATTGCCCTCGATGTGGTGCGAAGACTTTAAGCACAGGCGAAGCGCTTTCCGGTTTTAAGAATTTAGTTCTTCTGCCTTGTGAACAAGCTTGATGTGGATGGAACGAATTATCTAACCGAAAAATCGATGCGTAAGGTTTGTCACAGTTGATTGAAAGGTCTAGTTAGCGCCAAACAATGCACAAACAGAGGATGGTTAAGGGTTTAGGTAAAATTGGGATTACGGAGAACACACTTCTTCGGCTGCCTTTGTAACACAACTGCAGCAAAGTAATGTAATCAGCTCTCTTGGTGTGGGTGTGTGTGTGCATGCAACAGGGCACCACGTGAACAGATCTTACGCTGATAACACAAAAGCCAACCAATATGGTGGCTGTGATTTCTCGCGAGTCGAAAACCCGAACGTGCTTTCAAACACAAATCGTAAGATGCGTTCACTGACATCTGCTGACTTAGCGCGCTTCAGAATAAGACGAAATCGGTCAGTTAGAAGGCGCTAGACGGCAGATCAAGTTGAGCGGACGCGGAGCGTGACCGCCATAATGACAGACAACGAGTGAGAGAGCAGGCGAGGCGGCAAGTCCGCCTCATGCATAAAGTGGAAAAGAGATAAAGTGTGTCGGGTGCAGTGACACACACACACACACACACACGCAACCATTCACAGGAAGTGTGTCACACCACGACGCGTCACGTTGACACGATAAGCAAACATGCCTTCTCACACGTTCCACTGAAGTTACGCGTGTACGCACACACAGTAGTGAGACGGCTTGGGCATCGGCTTGACAATGCCAGCGTGTGTTCAAGAACAGGTTCTCCAGCACCTGACGCTCCGGTGTGATGTTGTAAAAAAGGCACTCAAACGCACCCTGTGTGTTTGTCTCAGGGCGTTGGATAACCACCTATGTGAGTCAGAAGCGCAGTTATTTTTGGCGACGAAATGCTTGATGGATGCATAGATGGTGGCATGGAAAAGGCGTCGTCAAATGCGATTGGTTGTTGGTTGGAAATTGGCAAGTGCAAGGTCAATTGCGACAACTAACAAGGCCACTGACCAGCACGGTGCAGACTAACCAAACAGTCAAGCGTAGAGTCAAGGCAATTACCTAATACCCTGGACGTTGCGAATGGCATAGGCGATTTCCCGACGAAGGGCCTTTTCGTCGAACTGTATCTAAAGGCAAAAAGAAAGCGCGCGTCACCGTTGGGGGGGGGAGGAGACGACAAGTGGTCGAGAGAGGGAAAGGGGGTCAACAGCAGTAAAATGACCACACCTAAAGCGTTACGGAGATTACCATCATACGCTGGTAATCAGTGTGTTGAAGTTTGCGTCTTAGTGCCGAGACAGAGCCACTTCAGCAACAGAAGAGGTTCTTCGGCTCACACAATGACTGCCACGATAAGGGCGCCAAGGCGAATTTCGGGAATTCGCGCAGGCGGTTTTAACTAGTAATTACTCAACACAGGTAATTGTGGCAAATGAGAGCTCATAGTTGATTGCGCCAGTGCAATGAGAACGGAAAAATTGGGTCACGTGACGAAGAAACAAGAAACCAGTAAGCAGTAGGGGGGCTCTGGCACAACTGGAGCGAGAACGGATTCAACTGGTGCAATAGCTCTTTCGGTGAGAGACTAAATCGGAAAAAAAGGAGGCACTACACACATGAGGAGAATTCGCACCAGCCGACTAAGGCCCCATGACCACTGTAGGCTGAGCTCGTGCGTAGGGTACAAGGTACACCACAAGTGGAGTTATTCAACAGCGCAGGAGTTAGAAAAAAAACGACAAACAAATGCCTCTTGATTTGGACTGAAAGGTTTACAGATAAAGACGATTTCAGAATAACCAGAAAATAAATATTTGTACAAGTAATCGAAGTTGCCGAAAGACCTCGAGTACACTTTAATTTCGAATATGGGGTTCATTCTTGGTCTTAGGGCTTATTCATTTCGTGACTACAACCTGCCAATAACCTTGTCGGTTCTACAAACAGCAAATTTCAACCATCGCGGAAGACACAGCACAAGAGGAGCGTGAATTAGACTTAAAAAGGGAATCGTAAAGGACCCTATTGACCTTTAACTTACGAATGAAACATTTGAAGGTCATAAATCTTGTTAGGGGGAAATTAAAGTGTGTGAGGACCTAGTGCTGGCAATATGTTCGCCCAGAAACCTTCACTTTGGACAGTTCTTCCACAAAGGCTTCTTCAGAAACTCATGCGTACCCCTCTGACGCAACTTTCCAAAGCAAAGCCATGCACAAGTGTACTTATTTCTGGAAAAGGGGCTTATTCCAAGAAATTACGCGTTTATTGGCACCAACAGGCGAAACGACTAGATTCCCTTGGGGTTGCATTGGTTGCATTTTGCCATGACTGCCAGTAGTGTGGGCTGTTTTCAACTTAAAAATGTCATGTTGTAGGACGTTTGTTGTTCGAGGCAGTTCCCACACAGAGACGATTATACCTTTTAATGACCCGGATACTCTGTATTTACGAGACGTGAAAAGTGATGAAGACAGGTGAAAGTGGGATGATGGCAGACCACGCAAATCACCCACAAGTGGTCTACTTTACCTGGCAAAGACTTACTGTGCATGGCGAATACTAGGCGAACCAGCGATTACGACAGTGTAAGAAGATCCACCGTGAGAAAAACTTAACCATTCGACGAATACGGATGGTGAACCTTTTGCATCAAGTAGGCTTTCTTAACCATTAAACACTTCAATTACCCATTTAATTTGACTGTGAGGTGTGCGTTTTGATAACCGTGATGTCTGGATCGGTATAAGGACAGGAAAGGTAGCCCAGGAAGGACTTAAGGCTGCGAAAGGTTCTGAATTTTAAACAGAAGCTTAAGACAAAAAATCCACCACAATGACGATTCCACAAGGACAAACTGATTTAATTATGAAATTAGTTGAAAGCCAAGGCTACTTCAGAACCAAAACTTAGCAAACAAAACGCCAGACACAGTAAAACGATGCCATCAACGGCCGAGTTAGGGAGGCGAGGGAACACAGATGACACGGTTTAATTAGATAATGGTTAAGACCAAAGAATACCAAATGTGATGCTTTTCGTGTGAAAATAAATCGGCAGTTGGGAGAAAGTCAAGAGATCAAGTAGAAATAGCAGAAATCGACACTGGTCGGGGAAGTGGCTTGAAAATGCAGGAAGCTTGACACGAGGTAAGGATAAAAACACTCAGCTCATGACACTACACAGCCACTTTAACTACCCCAAGTCGAGGCGAGCAGTGGGGCATGCTGTTGCGTCAATAATCGCTACACCACTGTTGGTAGTATTCTAGCAGGACAGTGGAATACGCACCCGAATGGACCCAAAGCCAAGTACAGCACAATCAGGCTTCAAGACTGCGCGCAGTTGCAGTTGGTTTTAGGTGTACAAAAAAAACCAATTTAAGCGGGCGAAGTTTGCCTATCACAACCCGTAGAATCGGCGATGCAAAGATGCACTTAGAACAGCGTGTCCTCACAGACTAGCCTCCATTATCAGTGCCTCAATCCTAAGTCAACGCGACCTGGGGGTATAAAACGCTTCGAGGCCAGGGAGGTGAGCAAAGGGCCGTGAAAATGTCCACATTCACTCGCATATGCATCGAAATGCGCTCAGAGGGCCTTGATTTCACCTTACGAAATCACGTGCACACACACACACACACACCTATAATCTGATTAGTCACGCATGTCACCAACCTCTGCTAGAGCATCCACGGGTCAAACGAGACGCCGTGATCGTTGCAGACAAGGTCAGGCACCACAGTCTGAAAGTACATTCGAATTCAACAGATGAGAGCCTTTAGCAGTGGCTGTGCACTATTCAGTAAGTAAAAAGTTGAGGTCATATTCTAAACGGTCACAGCAAAATACTTCAAATGACCTCAATGCTATGTTGGACAGCTGACAAGTTGCTTCAAATCTGTCTAGCGCGCGCGCGCACGCACGCACGCAAAGGTCGGTGGACGCTTCAACAGACACCATAAAAGGCATATGCTAGCAAGGATTAAGCTCACAGACCCTGTGTGTAAATAAAAAAAAGTTAGAACAAGATTTGGGAAAAAACCAACCTCAATTAGATCCAAGGGAAAGCGTTCGTGGAAGATGCGGTTAATTTCAGCACCACCCGAGAGTGAATCGACACTGATCGTCCCTGAATGGCCGTCGATAGCGTTTATGAATTGCTCGGAAAAGTTGTTCACCAATCTGGAAGAAAATTAAGACGCCCTAACGACCGCAAATCAAGCATTAACTCAGCGTAGTGACAGCGCAGTCACACAAAGCGACGTTGGACGATTATAACGCAGCAAATCTAGCGCAGTTCCACATTACACTGCGGTAAGACATAAATGAAGGCATAAATTAACAACTGTTATCGACATGGTGACTCAGTACCGACGAATGAATGTGATTATAAATATACCAAGTACAACCGCCACAGCATTAGAAATAACATTACACAGCGAACACACAACAAATTGGCCAAGTTCAACAGCCTCCAATCATCATTTCCAACAGATAGAGAAGCAAACAAGCCAATGCAAGTACAATGAAAAAAAAGTAATTCAGGACAGCTTTGATAGTTCAAAGGAATCGCCTCAGGATTCGCACTACATCCTCTTTTGGCAGACAGAAAGATTACTTGGTCGTGTTGTTAAAATCCGAAAACGACCACAAAATGTCATTTCACATGTTAGTCAGGTTGAGGGCACATATTACGCCTAGGACGTTCCTTAACTCGTTGATCATCACAGCAGTCAGACACAAATTGAAACCAAACAATTGGCCGAATTTTGATGCAAAAGATGATATGCCTTGTTGCGTATCAGAGGGAAAACGGGCTTACTGTATAAGGGCCTTGGTTTTGTAAGACGGATCATCCGGCTTGAGGTTTTTGAACGCCTCTACTTCCTTTTCCAAGCTCAACAACTGTGACTGAAGACGGTTGCGCAAACTCGGCAGAGTATCACGGATGTGGTTTGTCAGTTGTTGATTAAGGGTGGCCTGTAAATAGGGGGTGCCCATTCGGTCGGCCATGTGCCGGTAAGCGGGGTGACCAAGAAAGAACTTTCGTTCACTTGCGATGGCTGCTTGAATGTCTTTTCGTCCGTCAATATCCTTCTGGCTTCTGTTTACAATACCGACGTAACCTTGAGAAGAAAGTTACAGAATCAATGAGAATCATTTGGTTAAACTGTGAGCCCAAATCCTAGACACTACAGACTGACAACACTAAGGGGTGAAATACATCGACATCCCCAAGGATGTACCAAAGCATAAAGTATCGGTTAGACTTGTTGTATCGCATACGTGCCACAAATAAGTGATGAATTTAACCCTTCAGTTACTTTAAATTGTGATAGGACTTAGATGTCAATGTGAGAGGTAGGTGATAGCCACGCTTCACTGGTTCACAACACCATAAATTAAAGTAGTGGGTACATTAGTAAGTTACGTGAATAATTGAACAAACAAGGCAGAAAATTAATCAATAACCAGATAAACTGAGTACATGTCGACAACTGATATAAAATTCCCGACATGCTCATGATGCGTTTGATAATTTAAGATCCTTTCAGCAATAAAATTTTAGCTTAACACGTATAAGGAAACTGACTGCTCTCCCCCGAGTTTTAAAGCAATCATGAATCAACATATTACAAAACAAACTTATCATGATGTCTGTTTACGTTGGCTGTAGCAAAAGAGACCGATATGTCAACAAGTATGCAAGCTGAAACCACAGAGCGACATACAAACTTTAGTCGATCCTAGCAGCGGATTACATTGATGAAAATTAAACAAGGATAAAGTATCATAAATTGAGTAGGAATATATACATCAGTAAGCTTACCCCGTCGCAAAGGCAGGACTTTATTCTCCAGTACCTCTCGAGCATCGGTTCCGGCATCCATTAGGTCCAACTTCGTGATAACACCAATGGTTCGAATGCCCGTTGGATCGACTTCCTTGGCGATTTTTAGGGCGTCAGAATTTGCAAGGTCTGTATTGGCAGGAGAAACAGCTAAAATTAAGGTATTTTCTGGTTCTATAAATTCAAGCAACATAGCTCGAATTTGATGTTCAATATCCGGAGGCTGGTCACCAACCGCTACTTTGGTCAAGCCGGGAAGATCAATCAGGGTAAGATTAAGAACTGAAAGAGATTGTTTCGATTAAGGAGAATAACTTTACCTTGGGGTGAATATATACGAAGGTTAATTGGAATGTTAGATATTCCTTTATTTTTCCCGGTAACACGGTCGGTTTCAGCTTCGATCTCTTTCCTGACGTCATCGAAATTCGTAAATCGTTTGTTTTTCAAATGCAGAAATTCTGCATACTCTAAACAAAGGTTGTATTTGAATAAGAAGGGGCGCACCTGTATTGCTGTTTATTAGCTGCAAAATTAGAGGTCGCCGAGTAACAATACCCGAACCCCGTGGAAGGAAATCCCTACCAACAAAGTTCTCTAATACTGAACTCTTCCCAGCACTCTGAGAGCCAACAACAGCGATCTGGGGGAGATCCAAGTTTAGAGGAACACTCAGGGCAGAAAAGGCATCTTGAAGTTTATTGACAAGGGGAATGAGCATTTGCATTCCCTGATTCCCACTCATTTTGCTAAAAAAGGCTAATAAAAGAAAAATTGCATTAAAACATAGGATAAGTTCGAGGGACGTTTATAGTACTACAAAGGCAATGGGATAATTAACCCAGTGAGAAATTTTAGGTATACGAATGACCAAACACAAATTAGTAATCCAGAATTAGTTGATAAGAATCCGCATCTCACATGCTTTTAAAAGCTATTAAAAATAGTGCAAAATATTACACACGCTTCATTTGTATAACTTTTTAGACAATCCCAAAGATACATAGACCAAACATTTGTGGGAGTGAAATGTCAACACAAAGACCTGACATCCTTGGAAGAGCAAACCCCACATTCACATGTCAAATATTTTGTCTTATATGCGAAAGGTGATGACCTCAGTAATAAGAGAGCTCGAATTCAGTAAAATATAGTGGGCAGTAATGGAAAAATTAAGTGATGACGCATTGAAATCAGAAGGCAAATAAATTCAGACGCCTATCGTAGAAATATAATAAGCCTGAGCCGTAGTCATAATCACAAAAAGAAAAGAATTTTATACTACCACTAATCTAAAGCTAAGAATACATAAATATGCATTACACAGACTTTGCAGATAGAACGCCTACCCGAACAACTTTTATTACAAAACCCGCCTTTGAGTGACAAATCATAATATTCTATGGGGTTAGGGTAAACAAACATTAGCCGAGTTCTGGAGCTTAATAAAAAAAGGATGCATTTTTATTAAGGGACACAGATAATTAAATTAACAGATATTTGTTCCTATCTAAACGCATCATTCAAATCGTAAAGTAAAAATAAAACGTGCAGACCAAATTTCTATATTTTATCATGTTAATTGTGGTCCACATGTTCCTCTATCTTTTAAATATTCCCACTATCCATATTAATGTAAGAAAAATCAACCAGATTGTAATACTGTTGCTTTGAGGTCTTTGATGTATTTTTATCGTCATTTTTTTGTATTTTAAAGAGCCTCAGTGTAGCTATAGTTTTTAACTGCTTCAAAGTTTAACCATCAAAATTTTTTGACGGCACACATGAGGTGCAACCCCTTGGAACACACTAAACATCTAAAATAACTTTACTGTTATTTCAATAGAAAAGGCATCATTTCGGAAATTTGTCTGCGTTCTCATCAAGACATTTTTTCTTAAGCTCTGGTATTTTTATTTGATCTTTTTCTTATCTGATCAGTTGAGTTACTTTTGAGTATTTCAATGTCATACAACTGAGAGATGGACGCAAACATTATTTGGCAAATTTTAATTAGACAACCGTTTGTCATTGTCCTCAAGTCAATCCCCCGATTGATTTGATGAATTTTAAAGTCGATGGGTACTTCTGGAATCTATTCATAGAGCAATCTTCCTCTGTTATAAATCCTGGTTTCTGGAAGCATTCTTTCACTACGAAAAATAGCATTCAAATAATTATTCTGGATGTTTGAAGCTTGATTTAATTTATGCCTTTCACAAAGTTTTTGTTTTTGCCAATCCCTCAAGCCAATTTTAATATTACGTGTATGCACGAAACGAATTTAGGTAAATCTTATTTCGATCGTATAATTTAAGATTTTAAAGGCCTGGGAAAGGTCAGTTATTTTATTTTCATCACTTTACTGACATCTACAACACCCGCAAAAAGGCTTTTCCTTTTGGTTCAACAAAATTATAATTATTTGCCAATCACATTTGAATTTGCACATCTCTTGAATACACCAAGGATCCATGTTCGAAATTTCCCAACCTAAGAAGTCAGTGGCTTGCTTTGGAACTTTCCACTGCCTAGCGAATTCTTAATTAATTTTCCTTTGCAAATCTCTTAATAACTCATTAAACCATAGTGTTAAGAAACTATGTGAAGCACCTACTTTAATGTTAAGTGGTCAATACATGTATTAGTAAAATCGTTTTTGGGAGCGTCTCTGCTTGAAAAGAATGAAAATATGTAGTTGTGTGTTGAAATTCAGTATCCTGAGGCTCTGGCTCACAAGCATTCGCTAATTTAGAATTATGTCTTCACTAAATTTATGCACACCAACTTTGTAATCAGATCGGCTGTAACCTTCCTTTTGATTCGTTAATTATAGAGTGTATTTTTACTCGTATTTGCAATCGAAATAACCAATGCCATAAATAAGTAGGCGCATCAGAAAGCGTGCTTGGATTTTGACCATGGCCGTAAAATCTCTATGCAGGGGATCTTGTCTTGTCCTAGTTGGGGGGGCACTGGATCATACGTGCTTCGAGTGGGTGCCAACGCGGGGAAGTCGACTGTTCACGCCGGGGGCTTCACATATGTGTACCTGAGAATCCTAACAAAATGGAAAGTTGGGGGAAGAAAGTATCACCATTATCTTGTGCGATTATTATTACAGTTGATGTGAAAAGCCAAAAACTGCATGCTTTTACGAATCACACAATCCAGAAATGCCTTTCCCATGAGTTTGTAAGTGCAAATTCATCGTTCCTTCCATAGTCTTTTTATTCTATGAACATATTTTGTTTTAAAGCCACATTAATTTTTTTCTTCGATTAAATAAATGTGGATAATGGGAAAAGGAGATATTTTGTGCGCAAGGACAAAAGCCATCCTAATTTTACGATAGCAGTAGTCCGCAAAATTGTCATCGTGATTATAGATTTACCAATATAGACCGTACCCTTTAATACGGCATTAGATATTCGAAACCTGAATTCTACTGACCCTTAATTGGCAGCTAAGGTACTTTTTTTAGCGATTAAGCAGCTTGAAGATTAAAAGATTCCAAGTTTGCAATGAAAAGTAAAGGCCAGATGAGAGTTTGGCGGCTACGTGATAGGCAGGTTGTGATGTTTCGTATTTATTTGCTGCTAAATCCTAAACTGAAAAAAAATTCATGCAGTTTAGCTGTTGTTTGCGACTTTGTCCTCACGCGGTGATTTGCCGTGATTTTGGAATTCACGACGCGCGACCTTCGTTATTAATGTCCAATTTCGGGTTCACTCAATGCATAAATTGAGAAACTTTGAATTTCTTATAAGAAAACGAGAAACTAAAACGTAAAAGTGTTAGAAAATGCAGAACCCAAGGAAATAACTAGTGGGTAAATCCTCCAGTCAGTAGTTAGCCACTAGGAACAACTGATTAACGCACAAGTAATATGGTTTTTTCAAACTAAATTGGCTGCCTTTAACGCTGGTTTGCACGAACGTTGAAGGCACTTAAACTATGGTCAAGGAGGTGACTGATCGCCTTGGTGCCTTGTACTAAAAGGAATACAGAATTTTTGCTTGTTTAAATTTACAAATGTGCTGTTGTAGCGTTTTCCATGTAAACACAATCAAAATTGTTTTTATCACAAAGCGAGCCTGGATGAGGGTTTTGTTATGAAGAATGCTAAAGGTTGTTGTGGCCACAACTATTGTAGTCCCAATATTTCATTATGAATGGTTTCAAAAACCATACCTTATTTAATATATGCGCTAGTTGGGTTGTTTAAAAACAATCAAACAGGTAACCTCAATATCCTTGGTCTGTATTTTAAACGTTATCTGTGGAGTCCTTACTTGAAACTGACAGGCCGGAGGCAAAAAATCTTCCTGACAGTTGGCACGTTTCTTCGCATTTATCGTCTTGGAAATATTCAGCATTGTATGGTATAAAAATGTTGACTTCATTTGCAACTGTAGGAGTACTGTGATGAGAATTATTATAAGATTTCATGTTGGAACACCCTGTAGTTGTGTGTGATTCTGACGAATCTAATTTGAACCCTGGGAAAACCTGAGGCGTTTAAACTAATCTAGAGGCTTTTTTTTTCAAATCACACTGAGCACCAGATATTCTTCAGTGTCACGTAGACCAACAATGCCAGCGGTCCAGGTTTGTGAGCTGTTAGTTTGTAGACTTGGCCGGAGTGAAGAATTAAAATCCGTAGGCCAAACTAGACGAGCAAACTGGTCGTAGCACAAACAGCGGCGTGGGTTAGAGTGTTTACTGATTTCACCAAAATAGCGTCGTGTTTTCTCACATTGCTAAATCGGGTCGTTAAACATGGCGTCCTAATCAACACCAGTATCACCGGGACGCCTCCAAATTCTGCGTTCCACGAAATTAGGTATCACCACGAGTAAACCTCACTCTCATAAAAAATAACAGAGAAACTCAGACCGGAAGTTCAGTTTTTCCGCCTCAAGTTTTATCCAACTGAGTCGACTTAACTGCACGACTAGGACCAAATGCTTGTAGTTTGCCAGGTAGGAGCCACCGGCAATGTGGAGGAAAGTCTGACGTGTTTTGTAGCATTTTATCCACCAAATTCTGAAGGTTAGTACGCTGAAATGTCAATAATATACCGGTGGTAACTGGGTACAAGGACTCATCTATTAATGCTGATCCCTTCCTGGTTTTGGCCTTAGCAAAATTTTTGTTTTAGAAGCACTGAACTATTTGATTAGGTTGATATTGTTGGCGTTAGAGACGGTTGTTAATATGAGCGAAGTATAGGCAAGGCCAATGGAATTAGGTAAATACCATAATTTACTAGCGAAAGGGAGGGAATTCCATGGCCTATGATTTGTTGACCTAAAAAGCCATGTTTTCGACAGGCGAAACAGCAGTCTTTAGCCTGCCAGCCTTATTGAAATCATTGAATTTGCATGTAAACAACTTTCATTAGTTGGATATGCTTCTTCTTTCTTGCCGTGATGATGGGCAGTGATCAAGGAAAACAAGACTGCTTAGCGTAATTTCGGTGAACCTCTGTATTGTTTGTAAGCAATTTCCGTGCCATTTGCAGGATTAGTCCACAAGTTGACCATTCATTAATGATTCCTGGGGGATCTTCAAACGACACCAGGATGGTGAGTGTGTATCTAATCCCTGCCAGAACTTGCGTAGAAGCTCGTACATAAGTAGGGCAGCGTTTGGAATCATCAGCGCCATCGACATTACGGCAACTTGTGGACTACGCAAGCACCACCGAAGTACATAGATTATTCAGACAGATAACGTCGCATACATTTGTCGGGGACTTGTCTGGGAAAGTATTTGCTGCTTTCCTTGACTCCTCAATCTTGTTGCTGCAAGAGTTGCACAGGATTTTTTTTACTCACCCTGGTACAGCAAACTTGAGCTTCGAGGCGAAGAAATCGATAACGCAAACAGTTTTGGCGTTTTTGAACAATTATTTAATGTTCCCATTATTTACCAGAAGGAAATCAGAAGTGTTTGAAATTCCAAGACTTCAGATTCACTTATTCAGAAACTAATCAGTGACTCCACAATTGACCATAATGTTGTCTCTAGAATGAAATATTAGATTAAAAGATTTTTGCACTGGCGGTAAATTCTTTTGTTAAAGCAGGAAGTGAATCAAGTAGATGCCATCAGAGGATTTAAGTGTGGAAAATTTTCAGCCACCTGATTTGCATTCGCAGTTGAAGCCCTTCCTTATTGATGTCGCAAACACACGCGCCTATTTGGCTCTTTTTGTTTAAAAGCAGCACTAAAGTGTGCGTTTTTTGTCAGCAATTTCTGCAGCACTAGGCGAAGCCATCGCAAGTCGATTTTGCGTCGTGTTTGCTGAGAATAAACCTAGCGAAATGTGCATCCATTAAGTGGACGGCTAATTCAATTAGCTCCAACCGCATGAAACCCTTCGAGAAAAACGAATATCTCCTTGTGGCGATCTACACATCTTCCATCGCAAACACACTGAAGGCGCAAAATGTCTTAGCAGACGAAAACCGCGCGCGGAAACAGCAAAAGCCACGGCCTACAAGTCGCCGTGCCGCACAAACCTGGTGATAGAAGTCACGTGGGCCGGCGCATTCAAGAGGCCTCCGTGCACGGCACGCATGCACCACGGGTCACGTGACCCGGTGATGGGACCTGCCCCGGCTACGCGGTGTGTTCAGTGCCACTAAAGCCCACAAAAGGACTGCGCGGAACAAATGTTTGTCCTAAAGTAGTGCGCTTTTGTGTACTTTTTCCCCCACCCGAAACTGCGGCACAGCGATCTAATAGTGCAAAAATTATTGATGAATTGGGCTTTACGGTGGTAGCCAACGCAGTGAACTGGCAGATATAGGCTCTAATTAGCATATCCATCTCAGAAAGTACATTTCATTTGGGTTTAGCTACAATTAAGACACTCGAGATAAAGTCTATCTCAAGTTATGTATTTCCAGAACCACAAATAAAGTAGGCAAACTGCAACAGATTATACAGGTTTACGCATGTATTCGTCTAGTAATAGAGAGAGAGAGAGCACGTTTAGAATAAAATTAGATGACATTCAAGGTGGGGGGCGGGCGGGGGGGCGTGGAGGGGGAGGAGGGAGGATGCAGCAACGAAACACGCGCAAACCACCAAGACACGGAAACACAGCACACTAAGACAGGTGGAAGGCATGCTGACCCTCGTGAATTGCGTAGAGCAACTTCTCGCGCATAATCTCCTTCGTCGAGTAGTTGGGCAGCTTCAGGTAGTTTTGGCAGGTCATCACCGAGGGCAGGTGTCTGTCGGCGTGCTCCTCCGCCTCACGCTTCATCACGATCTTCAGAGGGGGCTTCAACGCACGAAAACCTGTAGCAAGACAACAAGATTATACTGAGTTATGCCATGGTGAATCGGTTAACCTTCTTTACACCAGTCGCCACCTCAAAACAAGGTCAAACGCAAATGCTCATTGTAATCAGGACTTCATCAAGACCAGCTGGTAAAATCGAATGACGTTGGATCCGCTCTACGAGATTCATAGAACGAAGACACCAGGATTACCGGTGCACAGACAAAACTGTTAGTCTGATGAGGTAGCAGAAAATCTTTATCCGACTCCCCTGCTAAGCACGCCTACTAGAGTCTGCTATGCTCAAGATTAACGAGTCCCCCAGGCATTATGAAAATGGGCTACGGACAAACCGCCCTTTTAAAATGCACAAGGTGTACCTCCTATCGGGAGTCTTGGACTGCCGGTGGCGAACTGGATAAACAGACGTCGGCGCGGTTCATCGAACTCCGACATGATCTCGAACAGGTTTTGAATGGCCTTAGATTGTAGGGTGTAGCCGTGGTCACAAAGACAGGATTTCATAAGCGTGTCGACGTCCCAGCCCGAAGCTGTGGTCGTCTTCGAAGGTGTCACGACAGTTTGCGTGGACGACACAGACGTCTCAATACCCTGCAGGAAGGCCAGCTGGTCCCGGTAGAGACCACCGAATCCGCCAGAACCACAGAAAAGACCTTCACATTCGTCTGGACGGAAAAGGGCAGCCAATTTGCCCGTCCGAATGCCCGGAAGAACGGAATCAAAGCCTTCGATGAGGGCAGTTATCTGGCGACGAACGCCCTCAACCAGGAGCCAGTTCGCGCAGAGATGAAGGTACTCAGCTAGATTGCTACCCGTGACGGAGGTTTGCGAACCATTTCGACAGAGTTCGATCTAGAAGCAAACAAACGACGATAAGACACTGGATTACGTCAAGAACGCACCACGGATAGGCAAGAAAGTAGTCAATTTGGAAAAGCGGATTACAAATGACCTTGGAGATTAGCGGTAGACAAGTATAGGTGGAGTACAGTTAAACCATGTCAGACCTCATGACTGTCCTCAGTTAATCAGATTACTGACATGAATCTACCCGCAGACACATCACAAGAATCATACATTAACGTGTAATGTGCAGATTGCCACGGCGCTAGCGTGATTGCGTGTACACTCAAGGGATTACTGCGGAAACTGCAAGCTCTAGAGAGAACCGTACTTGATATCCGGGCAACGTGAAGTTCAGACAAAGGTCCTCAATGTCGGAGTCGATGGCTCGAACCTCCTCTTCCGCCCCAGCGCCCAATTCCTGCCTTCGTCGACTCATTTTCATGAGGGAGCGGAAGTGCTTGGCGAGTTGAGGGTCTACCAATGCGATGTCGGCGGGAGTTACGCCGACGCGAGGGCCACACAGGACCAGATCCTCCTCCGGTGTTTGGGTGTAGAGGAACCACTTGAAGAGGGTCGGTGACAGAGAGAGATCAAGGTGGCGCAAGTCGAGCAACGACCGCGCCATCAACTGACCCAGGAAGAAAAACTTGGCCCGGACCTACAAGGAAGGCAAAATAATCCGAATTTAGATCGACCACGAGGAGTGAATGACGCGTGGTGGATCTAGGGCGAACCAAGAACGATGGTTTGATCCGGTTGCTTCCCAGTGACAGACTTCTCATGATCACTAGCCATTTAGAAAACTGAACAAGCAAGCGCCGAAAAGAATGACTCATGAAGTGTGCAATGTTCGACTTGAGCAGATCGGCCGCGAGGTTAAGGAGAGAGTACATTTGACCGTTTTGGCACGAGGAACTTACTTCTCTGGACTGAGAAGCGCGCACATTTTTGGCAAGAGGTCTGGGATAGAGCCCAGGGGCGGGGGCTATAATGTAGCCTTCAGCAGTGAAGTTGTGGCCGTGCCAAAGATTCAGGTTAGCGGTCATGAGCTGGTGGCTAACCAGGGTGTAGAACTCAAGAGTGGGTCCCAGCCCGAAACCGACTTCACCTTCAAAGGCGATCTCGAGGATCGAGCGCGAGTCACGAAGCTCTGAGAGGGCCGACTCGGCAGCCCGCAGGAGACGCTTGGCGTCACGATGCACCGTTATCTAGAAAGGGCGAATAAACAAATGAAATGTAAGCGGAGGCAAGTTAAAGCATCAGATATCGACGCAACCAAACAAAGAAGTATTTTTTTTCTAAGCACATCAGGCACTGCATTCATGAGGGGTCGTCGAATCCAATCCAGTGAATAGCGATAAGCCCTTGACGGTCAAGAATTAAGTGTACGACTTAATTTTTGCACATTTTTAAATACACATGACATTTTAAATAGTGATTTTCAAGGTCTTTGGTGGTTTTAAAAGGATCGACGACAAGTCTACGCGAGAGACATAACCCCTCAGGATACCTGAGTATGCGACGATGGCAACTGACAAACAGCACATTCGATGGCACTGCCTTCTATACGTATTCCAACAATGACGGAATGCTGCTAAAGCACCGGGAAACCAATTTGCAGCGTTCTTGATACCGACGTTGTGTCTTATGAAACGTGCAATTATCGGTTTAAGCGTTCTAGAAGTGGTGATTTTAATCCCAGTGACCAGCTGCGCCTCTGACAGCCTCGAAGGTTGAAAAATGCGCGATTGCAAGCCCTACTGGATGAGAACTAAACGCAACTAGAGCTTGCAGCACAGTTAGAGGTCACCAAAATTGCTATTTCCGAGCGTTGGAACCAAATGGGAAGAATGTAAAAACGTGGAAGGTGGGTCCCACGTGTGCTAACCGAACACAAGCTGGGTTAGAGTGTGAACACATGCCCTTCGCTGCTTGCCCACCGGCAACAAGCGGTTAATGGACTTCTTGTGAAACATTGCGACGAATGATGAAGAGTAAATTTTACGCGAATCCCGAATGTAAATATCTTGGTTATATCCCAGACAACCCAGTACATCGACGCCGAAAGGGGACACCCACTTGAAGAAGGCTCTTCTGTGAATCTGGTGACACATGAAACTGGTCTGACGGCGATTACGGAACGCTACAGTCAACAATCGAAAAAACTGATCCAAAAAGGCCATTTACTTGGCAAGAAAGCATGCAAGTCATACTGCTGCTACGTGACAACGCTCGACAAGCTGAACTTGGGATGGGGAGTTTTCCCACACGCGGCATATTCACCAGACTTGATCCCCCTTCCGACTATCATTCGTTCCGGTCAATGCAACAGCACGCCTTTGTGGACAAATGCTTCAAAACGCTGGACGATATACGTCAATTCGTCGATGATGACTTTATTGCCTCGAAGCCCGCAAGTTTCCTTAGTGACGGCATCCGTACGTTTCCTGAGAGAGCGCGCAAGGTAATGGAAAACGATGGTCAATATTTCAAAGGTTACGCTCGTTTTTCTCTCAAAAATCTGTAAAAACTAAGTCATACACTTAATGTTAACCATAAAAGGACGAGCCTCAACCCTCGTTGAAATAAACTGATTCACAACAGTGAACAAGCATTAATAATGAAGGATACATCACTGATAGCCTTCATAACGGCACTGTCGCGTACGCGAAAGCCTAAACATTCTACCTTGTGTCTTTGGACCTGCGAAGCGGAGTCCACCAGGAGACTTTCGAGCACGGCCGCGGTGGTGTTGCCGGCCTCGGCGGCGCCCAGCCGGAGACCGGAGGCTTGGTTTTGGTGAGGGAGCCTGGGGGAGGGTGAGGAGGGGTGGCTGGAGGCAGCTGCGTTGCCAGTCCCTACACCACTAGCGTTTGCACTGCTTCCCGGTGATTCACTATCTACAGACCCATTCATTATCGAGTCCTGGAAGAGGGAGCGGCAGACAATGTAAATTAGGGCGATAAGACGGCCCATGTCGTTTTCTATTGGGCAAACTTTCAAATCGCTTCAGAGAGGAAAGAATCGGGTAAAGCTAACGGATGTGGCTACAGCGATCACACGAAGGAAACCAAAACCTGTATTGTGGCACAATGACTGACGTGCGCGCATTCAATATTGACGCAAAATCCTCTGTGACAAATGCTTTACAAGATCTAGCCAGGCTGATGTGGATGATGTTTCCAAGGAATGGATTGAACCGATTGCTAAACGTTGCAATTTAATAGTTTAGGGCCGCCTATTCCTGTCCTTGCAGAATGATCGCATAACCCATAAGTCAGGATTGATATTCGGCTGAATGTATACACAAAAATTAGTGCAAACTTGCCGATGAGGGCAAATAAGTTGGATTATTGGTCCGAGTGAAATAAGGCACATAAACTGTTCGATCGAGGACTTGCCTGTAAATGGAGGATGGTTCTGTCTCGGTCGAAATTGTGGACATAAAAGAAGTTTTGCCGGACAGAGAAGGGGAAGAGGAACGGGCAAGTGGAGATCATCTGCACCAGCCAGTTGGGCAGATTCCCTGCCAGAACGCAAAACGCGTCCTGAAGCTGCCGCAATGCTTTCGCGGAGAGTTTTTGACTTCGGAAGTGGTCCTAAAGGAAGCAAATGGCATCAAGAACTGCCGCCTTATACTACGCACTCGACGTGACGGTGAAGACTAACCACAGGAATGATGGGGAACGGTTCGATCAGGTCGTCCAGGGTGTTGCCGACCTCACTCAGACCGTAGAGAGCTCGAAGCAGCAACAGGTTGGTGGATAGATATCCGTCGGAGAGGGTGTTGCACTCCACGATCGGGTCCAGGAAGGAGAAGAAACGAGACGACGTAGTCGTTGACTGAACCAACTGACTATGCCCGTCATCGGGGCGGCGAGGCCGCTTCAAACAGCTGATCGCCGAGGAGAGATGAGAGGTGGGAGAGAGTTTACTAGAGGATGACGCCGAGGCGCCAGAAGAAATGCTCGATGCGGGATTTTTGAGAAACAACGAGGCAGGGGACAAGAGACGAGTTGGGGATTCAACACTTGAGGACGAGGACGCGGCTTTCTCGAGACGGTACTGGACAGTGTGGACATGCCGCCACATAAACGCGTTTATCTAAGGATTAGAAAGAAAAAATCACGCAAGGATTACAAGAAATTTAAATACCACGGGTAACAGCTGGTTGGCAATCCGATAAGCTCAAATCCGGGAAATTTTGCAATTAACTCAGAAATCCAAGGCTCTAAACACTTCATCGTCAGCGAGTGGAAGTTTCTGGAAAAACTTCAGCCAAAATGCTTCGAACGGACTGACAAATCAAATTCGAGTTCTTCGAACGGTCGTATCTTTAGGAGACTTCGTGAAGCCGCAATGACACCGACGCCTAGTGAGTTAAATTCTACTTGTTGCCAATTGATACGTGCATCATTCAAATTGCAGACGGTAGTGGTACTGAGAGAATAGTCGCCAAATAGATGGTTTCAATGGCTGTCGCATCACATTGTGCCGTAAGAATAAATACATAAATAACAAGGACCAATTAGAATGTCCTTTCTTTTTAATGAGAGTAGAAGCAAGGACGCTGCGAAATTTATTGGGGCATGAATGCCAATCAAAGTCCAGAAAGTGTACAAAAAGGCATTTTGACCTTTACGATGTGGTCGTTTCAAGGGTAGTTGGGGAGAAAACATCTTCACAATGCAGTGGGGCTTGAGAAACATCAAACAATGAAGCAGAAACGCGCAAATATTTAAAGGATGCGCTGAAAACACCAGTAGTAGGCTGTGGCGATTACAAAATGCAGCATATGTTAAGTAAGGCGGGGCGATGCCAAAGTTACGGCTGTCGACAACATTCAATTCGTTAAATTGTTGGGATAGTAGCTTCGTGCATAGTGCCACCGATGTATAGATTCGATAGTGACAGTGATATACAAAAACAAATGAAAGGAAATCATCAACATACAGGATTGAAAAGGATCGTGATTAAGTCTCAAAGGCACTTAAGGATGCTACCGCCTTCCTCAGAAGAATAAATGGACGTTCCAAGGTGCCTGGACTTCAACGATTCCATGAAACAAAACACACGCCAAACTGAATCTCAAGCATTTTGCTAAGCGCCTGCAACCGCTAAACGAATTGTTGAAGGTCGCTCAAGAAAGGGAATAAGCCGAAAAGGCCTCGAGGAACTCGGAATATTGCTATTACTTTTACCACAACGCCGTTCTCCACCCGCACAAGCCAGACGGGAATATCAACCTTCATATGATTATTTGGCTTAAAGTCAATAAGTGGAAGAGGCAAGAGGAAGCGTTGGAAATTCGAACCCCCTCGCTGCCCAGTTGCTCTAAGGTATGATCCTTTCCCTTGTTTAAGTCCCTGCCAACAGCTCATTGAACGGGGGAGTGGAGCATTTGTCATGCTACTTCAGTATAACGCTTTGTTTTACTATACTGATTCAGTTGGAACACAAATCAAAGTCCCCAACGGTGGCAAGGCACTGTATTTATTGTGCACATTTACCATTTACTCGACCTATCGCCCTAATATTTGCTGTTTAGGAAAACCTACAGTGACGGATCGTTTCTGCTGTTCCTCGATTCTAGCGTTTACATCCACCAATCCTTTGGCTGATGGATTATTTACACCATCTTCCAAATAGATGACGTCTACAGCTGTCATCAGCTAGCAGTATTTGTGTACTTTGAAAACAAAACTGGTCATAAATAAATAAAAACACGGACGGAGCAAATAGCCAGTGGATGTCGCTAGGCGGCGTCAAAACCTCCAGTTATCCTAAATGATCCCAAGGCGCTGCGTCAATTAACTAATTAGAAGTGGAGTTAAAAGTACACGCGTGAAAACAGGTCCACTAATATTGCAAACAAATAATTAGACTTCAGGCAAAGACACGAACAGGCACACGGGGTATGGTAAAATGTGCAAAAGGGAAAAGCTGTCACAGGACGAGGACTGACCTGGTCCTCCCGATTTTGCTCTGTCATCGAGAACCGGTGACCATTTAGCAACTCTCGACTTCGTTCACTGACATCAACAGAAAACATGCGGATGGCCTGGTACAGCGGCATCTGACCGGGAACACGCGTCCCGTTGATGTAGAAGACGGGCACGAGGCCATTGTTGCCGCCAGCAGCGGCCGCGACAGAACCAAAGAGGTCACTGACTCCGGAGGACATGAAAGCCGAGTGGGGGTGGTGGTGGTACCTGGAGGAGGCCGGGTGGTGATGGTGAGAGTTGTCTCTCCTGCCACCTGCGACGAGGGACCGGTTGTGGGAGTGCGTGGCCGTGGACGATGATGGCTGCAAGGAGGAACCGCCTCCATCAGAGGGAGAGAGTGTTGAGGGGGCCAAGAATGAGGGTGCTGCCGCCATCAGGCCGGAGGACGAGGAGGAGGAAGAGCCGGAGAATTGGAGCATCCCGAAGGCCGCCAGAAGCGACATACTCTTCGGTCGAGAAAACGCCTGAAAGGGACAAAGACAATGACGAATTCGCAGAGGGAAAGAAAATCACTTGGTACGGCTTGAAAGGTGACCTCCAGGGTGAAGCAAAGCGATGGCTGACTACAGTGACCAGAGAGAGGAAGAAAGTGAATTCCGGAATCAAAAAAAGGGAAGCGAAAGACAACAGAAGCCTCTCTCAATAGTTCAATTCCCACAACGATGTTTGGAGTCTTAAGAAAAAACCAAGGATTCAAATTACGCCATAGAAACTCCACACCACTGAGTTTGTTACCGAAATATCAGGAAATACTTGACAAATTAAACAGTTTTGGAAGACGCGTGCCTAACTTGCTGGATCGCTGGTTCACTGTTAACGGAAATAAACTGATGCCTACCTCCTTTGGCTTTAAAGCCGAAGTTCTGCTGGAAGCAGATTCACGTCCCATGACGAGTTCAACCACCTCCGAACTACGAGAAAATGACGATTGGGCGGGGAGCTTATCATGACGTATGCTGTCGGGAGCAGTCGAGTGATGCGGCACTCGGATCTTTGTGGAGGACGAAGCCACTTCTTCCTCGGGATGCAACTGTGGTTCCTGACGCCGGTAAAGGCGACGACGGTAGGGCTGTTGGTGAGGTGCTGGGTGGGAAAAAGACGCGACGCCACTGCCATCATCATCTACCAGCTGATTTTGGCTGTTTTCCGGGACGGAGACAAGCGAGGCAAGGAAACTTCTTTGCACCAGGAGAAGTTGAAGGTTCTGTGAAGGTAGGAAGGGACACCATCACTGCCTGAAAGCCTTTTACTTAAGACTTGGACACGGGAGCAATAAATTACAACGAAATTACTGGCAGTTCAGGCGATGGCATTTGAGGTAGGTGCGCGAACATTTAAAGTGAAGGCGTTAAGCCTAGTTGGAGTTACGACGAGCTCTTGCGGTGGATTAAATCGTGGGAGGAAACGCAGGAATGACTACGTTGATGGACAAAAGTACATTGAGCGTTTTTATTACACGACCTTTAGGCGATGTTGCCTTACGTTAGTAGAGGCGACGCGGCAAAAACAGGACGAGTGACTCAACAGATGGGCAATAATGAACACATGTCGTATGTGTGCGTGTGTGAGCTTAAACAAGCAAGGTTGACTATCAACGCGTAAAACAGTCAGGGACTTTCTAAGCAGAAGGAGACAATGGATGAAGAAATTGAGTAAATTTATCAAATAACGTGCCAATGCCGTGATGAGAGCATTCACGTGTAGAGGCAGACTAAGAGGAGTATTCTCCCAAAACGTGCCCTTCAAGGACCCATCGTTCTCCGAAGACGACTTCCTCGACGAGGTGGCAGTAGTGCTTTCCTCCACTTGTCGAACTAGTTCCAGTTTGAGAAAGCCCGGCACCACTGCTGACCAGCGGCGGGGCAAAAGACGATGGGGTTGGCCACTTGAGGACTTGGAAGAGGCACTTCGGTTGGAGGTGCCACCGCTACGACGCAACCTCGTGTCGGATAAGGCGACGCCGCCGGTCGGGAGTAGGAGGCTACTGGGAATACCGCCCCGGTGGGTTGCAAGGAGCATCTCCTCAGCACAGGCCTCTGCGCTCGACAGAGAGGTCGGTCCGGTGAGCACCTGGAAATGTTCCTGTTAAGTGGAAACAAACAACCCTGTGATTGGTCGACAGAGATTGGGAATAAAACCACAGAGCGAAATGCATAAAGGACACTCAATCGATTCCTTGGCTTTGATTGGATGCCCAAGCGCTTATTGACCAGTTAACTCGTCGTAGGTCAAAGTGAATCCATCAAAAGACAATCTAGCCCAAGAATTTCCGAGTGCTTAAGAATGTATTTGATCGTGGAAGAGCAGTGCATTGCCATAGTTACTAATACAACCACGAAGTAACAAGAAAGCGCTTGGCATGATTCTGAATCTACTTTACCCTGGTGGCACCATCAAGCAACCTGTTTCATAGTTGCTAAGCAACAGCGAAGGAGAATCCCTTGGATAAAGAGAACATTAACAGAGGCTGTTAGAGAAATGCTGTCGGCAGCACAACGAGGAACTCCGACAAATTTTTTAAATAAAAAAAACAACGGAGCCAAAATGCAACGACAAAGCTAGTTTAGCGACGTTGAAGACATGAAAGTAATTCTCGGATACGACCGTCTGTGAGCAAAGAACACTTTTGGATTGAAACATTTTGTCCACTGGTAGGTATCCGGGTAAGCACGGCAAGACGAATTATTTCAGTAGAGCGAATTGAGCTCAGGAAAGCACAATACCATGATCGACTTACGATGTAGGCACGCACACGCACACGGTGTTAAGTGGCGAATGTCATTCTGCAATTGAGGACTGGTGCGTTAGAGGCCGCAACACAGCAGAAACGGGGGTGGGGGATGATAATACTAGGTTTACGGGATTTTGGTCGAAATCTCACGGGATCGATGGTGGAGAATTGTGTCATTGTTTAACCGCCACCGCTCAGACTACGGGCATGTTTGCCTTCCAATCACATGACCGAGGCCACGTGAAGCCAAAAAATGCGAGTTGGCACAGTAAGACGAAAACAAAACGGGAGCCGTGTGTCGAAAACAGTGTTTTCGGGTTTGTTCGCTTTAGGTGCCACTCTGCTGCAGCAGAACGCGCGAGCAAAGCCGGGGTGACGGCTGGGCTTAAAAAGTGCTTGCGTTGCGTGGACAAAATCCACGGCATTTTGAACAGACCATTGGCGCTAAAACGCTCAGAGGTAACGCCACAACAAATAGGTCACATTGCATCAAACAAGCACTACAGAGGTTGTCCTAGAGCCGGACTAGGCGTACCTGCTGATGAAGACAGTCAAGAAGGCAGTTGATGAGAATGGGAAAGGCTTGGTCATGCACCAGGCGGTCATCAGCCGGTTGGTGCAGAGCCTCGAGGGCACCAGTGGTCATTTCCAGCATTTTGGGCTTCTCGCAGAGCAAATTCAGGCAAATGTTGTCTGTGTATCGAGTTCCGACAAACACCTGAAACAGACCCGAGGAACGACACTTGTTTTTTTTTTTTGAAAAAAAAAATTACGATTCATATACAAGAAACCACGATGATGATTACTCTCGTGGCAAACGCCTAGTGTTTCTCCATCAAACACTGGTGCTGGAGCAAACTAAATGGGATCCAATTGGATCTACCGTCAACATCCAGAGAAATGACCGACCGGGCGAGGCAAATCAGCCATTCTAAGGTCAACCGAGATAAGGGCAGATGCCGTGTAGGAAACTAACACAACTCAAGATCAGGTCGATTTCTCAACAGGGCTAGTTTTAGTTAAACAGCCAGTTACAATCACAGAACAATAGAAAGCCCGCCGCTACTAGCATAAAAACAGCGTATAGGCGCCTAGAAGTAGATTTTGGGTATACACTTAAAGTCGCGTTACCACGGGAAACCGGCTTTCTGTAAAAGTACAAAAAAGCACTCAAAACGCGGTTAATTGTGTGTTTAAGCTGTGCAACTAGATGGTACAAGCGAGGCAAATGTTATTCCTATCTGAATTAAACGCAGAATGGGCACGATCGTTTGAGAAGCACTTTGGGAACGCGGCTGATTAAAACAACAAAAAGGCAAGAAACACCAGCAGGCCTTTCTAGTGCAGTTAGTGTCGAACGCCACCAAAGTCAAGCCTTGAAATGCAAATTGCAGCTGAGCCTTCTTATTCACGCAAATCACAACAAAAAGACGTGGAGGCAAGTGCGCGTGTTATTCACCTACTTCAGGTCATTATATCACTTGCCTCGCTCGCAGCATCTAAATACATGCACGATTTAATGTGTTCTCGAGTAGTCTGTACTTCAGTAGTACTAGCATCACAAGAGATTTCGCCATTACACAAAAGCAGCCATACTACAATGTTAATTCCTGAATCTACAGTCACATTTAATGAGGACAAACCCGTAACTACCTAGAAGCCGCTATTCAATGAATCTCGATGTGCACTGTAGCTGGTAAACTGAGCTAGCGGCACACAAACTCATGCATGCAAAAAACCCACCCTCAAGAAAAGATATGCTCTCAATCGCCGTTCCGTGAGTTGGGAGAGGAAAGAGTGCAACGCCTTCAAGAGTCCGCTTCGTTGAATCTCAAACGGCGATGGAGCCTCGTCCTCGGTGGCGTTTGTTTTAGTCAATAAGGTGGCGAGCCGTTTTAAGCCGCCGATCCATGCTATTGGATCGTCAGCGACCAATAGCTGCTGGCTCACGGCTTCAAGTTCGGGCACCAAATCACGCGCGACGTTAACGGTAGTCACGGCGACCGCTGAGTGCCTACGGGTCTTTTTGCTTGCTGCCGCAGCCTTGGACGCCAGGGTATCCGAATTGTGGGGCGTCGTGACAAGCTCCTGGATTCGATTATGAAGTTCCTGACACTGCGAAGTGATCCAGGCACGGAGACTGGTATCTTGACAACCACTTGCGGCGTTGGTCATTGCAAGGATCGGGCTAAATGACATGGCAACAAGGAAATGTCTGTGACAACCAGAGAACACCACGATTTAGGCAACTAGGTGTGACTAGAGGCAATGAATCACATGAAGAGCCCTACTTCACGAAATGACCTTACGTCTCAAGGGCTGCGGTGACTCAACAAGTCCAATTAAGTGATTTGGGTCTAGCATTTTAACTAACCTCATCAACTGTCACGACCAAGCTATTAGGGATTTCCTTGAAAATAAAATCTGTGGTTTTCAACACAAAGACGGCTTGTGAGGGAAGTACTATAATTCACGTTGACACGAACTGTGATTTTGAATGCTGCCCAGCATCCAGAAGCTCCACAAAATGACCAAAAGACCAACCTTGGCAAAATTTGGCTCGCCTCAGCCCCCAAGTCCACGTCGAGGGTTGAAGTTGATGAAGATGTGGACGACGACGCGGGAGACTCGGGCGTCACCTGTGCGGAGTCCTCGAGGACAAGCATACCACACGGAGGTTCCGAGGAGCCTGGGACAGCGGAGGGGTCGGGTGTCTTACTGACTGCCTGTTGGTGGCAATTGGCGGAGGCACCTTGAAGAGTCAATCGATGACTGCGTCCTGGAAAGAGATCAACTGAATTCCAGCACCCACAAGTCAGGCAAGTGTGCACACAACTACACAAGGCTCAGTGGAACAGGTAACCACGGGCGGAAACAAGGCCACGGGCCACCTTAGTTATTAAAGTTTAAAGACATTTACCCAGTTAGGTTTTTCACTGAGAGCACTTGTTTTGTGTTCACGAACACAAAAAAGAATGAACGAATAAATTACCAATACGAGTTAACTGAAAGACCGAATGACATACGAGGAGGTCGTAACTGGACGGGCTGTGGTCTGAGCTGATTGTTTGCGTTTTCTGTGGTCGGCCTTCGGAGAAGATTACCCCCGGGGGTGGTCACAGAGAACCGGCTACTTTTCGCGGCAGAGAGCAGTGGCAATGGGTTGGAGGTCCACAGGGATGACGATAAATGCTGAGATGAGATTGCGTAAGATGAAGCAGAATCAGTCAAAGTATCCAAGGAGGTTGATGACTTTGAAGTCGATGGTGGGAAAAAGACCTGCGCCGTTGTCTGGGACAGAAAGTGAAGAACACGCGATTTAGGGGAATGGGGATGGAGAAAGTAGTGTAAACCTGGCACGAAGCAAGCCTATTCGGCATTTGGTTGGTTGCACCAACAAAACAACTTATGAACGCCAAGGCAAAAAAACCAACGCCCGTGGGCTTGACGAGGTGAGCTCATGGATTAACAGGGCAAAAACGCACCGCCGATTCATCGCCGCCGGCTACTTCCTCCTGTTTCTCGGCAGCAAGAGACGCGAGTCGCTTGAGGTGGAAAAGAACGCCCTCTTTGCGGAAGTACGCAGAGAAGACGAGTGGAATGCGCGTGATAAAGAGGTTGGCAAGTTGCAAGCCCGCGGCAATTATGGCGAATTCGGGGCTCGCAAGCATGCCGGCAACCATGGCGGACACTGAACGCGGGGAAACCGTCCAGGAGAGCACAAATGGACTCGCGTAGTAGACGATCCTGTTGGGTGGAAAAGGCCAATGAAAAGGCACAGCCGAAAAAATGCAACAATTGGAAACGCCAAAACAAAGAACGACAGGGATATAAACTAAGTGTAAAACAACAGGAGAAACAAAGTGGGTGTTTTGGGGGAGTTGCACTCGAAATTTCGCCCCGACTCAGTGCGATGTCTGGGATTTTGTCAAATTAGGCATTGGAAGTGGTGAGCATGCGTTAGCTGTGTTGATTTTGTAACCGTGCATGAAATTCAACCCATAGTGTTGTGTTTTATCAAAGAAAATCAAGACACGCACCTATGAATAGCCTCAATGCACCTCAGTCGTGGAGAAATGCCGTTCAGTTCCGCGTACAGATCGAACAACATTGGAAGGAGCAGATGGATGGCTTTCACCAACACCAAATCATCATTTTCGGGAACTGAAGAGGCCGAATTTCCGTCGCCTTCATGGTGGTGCTGCACGCCGTCACAGCAAGAGGTCTTCCGTTTGGCGCGAGACACCAACTCCTCAAAGGCCTTGCACTGCTGCTGAATGAGGGCGACCCGCACATCTGCAACCTCTGGGGTGCTCTTTGAGCCCTATTAACGAAGAAGGACTCTTAACCACTGCTCATTTGCAATCATGGCCGGACCACTACAAATGAGTGCTAAACTGTCGTTCGTCCTTCGCTCTCCTAATATTCAGCCAAAATCACCACGTACAAGGGGGAGCAATGTCCGGCATGTGATATTTGAGTAAAGTCTTACGTCGGCATGCCCAGCTCGGCAACAGCGTACACAAGCACTTAATTGACGACTTTGACAACAACACTAAAAGACAAATCAGGAAACTAGGCGTCGGACAGTTCAAAAGTGGAGCATCATGTTATTGCCGTATAGCCTCTTGTTTTACTATACTGGTTCAGCTTGAACACTATTCAAAGTCCCCAATAGTGGGAAGCGACTGGATTTGTTGTATGAATACACTGTATACTCTACGTATTACCATAGAATTTATTATTTAGGATAACCGCTATTAAGGTCTACCATGTTCCTCGATTCCAAAGCATATATCCACCGTTGCTTATGCTGGTGTTATTAGTAGGGTCGTTCCCACATCCCCCTGAACCGCGTTTCAGTGTACTTGAACTAACAACAAACACATTTGTTTCTAGAGAGCACCGTTCAGGATACGCAGTTCCTAGTCTAACTCCATTTATATTCATCAGAACAAGCAATTAGGTGATAAACTTAACTGCAAATATACAATAAGGCCTAGGAATGCAAAGGCAAACTCAAGAGAAAGTGAACTCGTTAATAATTTAAGAGGTGTTCAAGGTGTATGCACAGCCAACCAATACATTACTTCGAAGAAGTCCCTAATAGATGATTTCCTAACTTGTGGAAAAGCGGTCATCGCTCACGATTTTGAGGCAGGAAGCAGTGGGTGGTCGATTCGTCAACTCGAAATGGCTTTTTTGACTTGAAATTGGCATGTTGCGACGCCATATGCCACTAACTACCCAACAAGGATGAAGTCAAGCGTTTATTCGAGGATTTGACGAAGTCGTCGTCGTCGTGTCTGTGGTTGGCGTGCATACTTGGAGCTTAGATGTGTGAGTCATAGATGAGCTAACATCGAGACCTAAGTGTGAGGATGATCCAGGATAAATGTTCGGATCATCCTCATGAATGAGGGGAAGATCTGGATTAGCGAGCTTAAATCAACGCGATTCACAACAGGCAAATATAACAAGCATGGAGGAGAGGAAGGCGCGAAGAAGCCTACGGCATCATTCGAGAATGCCGCCCCTTGCAGTGATTGGTGGGCTGATCAAATGATTATAGTAATTCGGGTAATTAGAGGTTTTCGAAACAAAAGTAAGGTAGACTTACCGAGTCATCACGAGAAGAACTGAGCGGAGGACTAAGAGAGATGGCATTCTCATGAACCGGAGGCAGTAGAGCACTTCGGACATAAGATGAAAAGGGTAAAATGAAAATCGCAAAAAAGTTGGCTAAAGTGATCTAAAATAGGATGAAATGATAACATCGGAAGGAACAAATGAATTACGCTTGGGGGTGTACTCGAGAATTGAGCCTGAAACGGTCAATTAAGAGACGACGGAGTGGGCCTAACTACCTACTTTCGGGAATTTTGGGACGAATCTGACGCAAATGAGGTACTATGCCGCTAATTTCGCAATAACCTTTGTGCCACAACACCACGCTTGTTTAGAGATGCAAGACGTGAAGGTTAGTCTTTACTTCGCGAAAAAACCTTTCCTTCGAAATTTTCACACAAAAATCAAATAAGCTTCGCTTATTGGAGGCATTGTCGCAAACACGGACACACACACAACACTGGCGGCCAATCAGCAGTGGCCGTCGACGTCGAAGCATGGGCGGCATAAACGGCCTCGACGTAAACATACGCGTGAAGCCGTTACCAGGAGGCAGAACATCTGGCCTTGTAGTACCGGCAAAGGCGCCTATAAATAACGCCTGAGTAGTCAATGGGTCTAGATCAAAGTACTCTTCACGACGGTTGACTAAAATAAGCATTTAATCACTAGACCCCTCAGGTGCGTCAATCATGCTGGTGGGTGTGAACGTTGGCGACACCAAGATAAAAGGGTTTTATGATGAACCTACACACCCCGCAGCAACTCTGCCAGTTAGAAGCAAACAGCTGTTCACTGATATCGACACAAACCCAAGCGGTTCAGCAATATTGGTGCTTACGTGCGCAAGGACGAGCCCACACAAACGACTCCATTATCGGGATGTACCTTCAACTTTTAATCTCATCTATAGTAGTGTCAAAGGCCGACAATGAGAACAATCTATCGATTGGAATGGACAAAACGTTTCCAACACGTCTAAATAAACACCAAATAAGCTAATCACACTGTCATGTGCACTTCGAAACATCACCGGTGACTTAAAGATAACGCAGCCTGGTTAACGCGCCTACTGGATGGCTGTAAATACGGCGTGTGGAAGTCATCTAGAGTTGTGGTGTATGAAATGTTAGTGGGAACCAGTTCAATTCGTTGATCTGCTTCAGTGGACCATTGGGTCTTTTTCGCACGTCAGCCCGAAAGTGAAAGAGCGATCGTGGTTACCACTACGCCGGCTCCGGTGTTGGCTAAGAAGCCTTGAGACAGACCCAAGCGACCGGAACCGCGACGGCTCCTGCCTAATGCGATTAACTCACTAACCTGATGAGGTGGATGATAGCACTGATGTTCTTGGGTCCGCGGTTCTCTAGCGCCCTGGCGATGTTCGTCCGGCTTGAGGTACACTGGAACCCATTTTTCCCACCCGTTGTGTTGGGCGAAAGGAAACTAATTTCGTGAGGCCTCTGGTCTGTCAGTAGTGTGTAGAGCGTCTCTGCGTAGCCTGAAAAACGCCAACGCCAGATAGTTACGCGCACACAGGTAAAGGGACTTTTAGTCGGCCTGACGAATATGCGTCACGCCATAAACGTCAATCAAATACAAACCATTGACTTGTGAAATATCGATGGAAAGGGAGCCGCCTAAGCCTTGGCACAAGAGGAAATAAAGAAAAACACGACAAAAAAGCTCAAAAGCAAAAAAATACCTATTTGCCGTGCCAAACCAATATGTGTGCCTCAGGCAGCCTCACACACCAGCTAAAAAGTCAACCTGTAGAAGAACTTGGACTCTGAATGGTAAGTACACAAATTAGGTACAAAAGCATGTTCATCGATAGTCAGTTTCCAATCTGGTTAATCCAAAAAACGTGGGGAGGGTTTATCATCAAATCTTAATAGGTGTCCGGGTTTAACGTAGAGTTTACAGTACCTTGACGTCAGGTTTTGACTGTGACTAATCACTAACGTGAAGTCGCAGCACGTCTAGGCCACAGAGCCCAAGGCCGATTGACATAAACGCTACTGCGACACCAAAGATGCAAGTAGAAAATTGCTTAATGAATAATTCACTCAGACGTGGAGAAAATTATTCCCATGTGAGGGAATGGCTTGACTGAAAAAAAGAGAAAAAACAGTGTTTGGAAAGCAGCTTTGCGCTGGCAAGCCAATCAGAGTGAATCAATGGCCAATAGAAAGTCATTTTATGCGGCAGCCACTACGTCACCCACACTTTTTTTCGAAAACTATAGCCAGTTCGGAAAAACAGCCAGTCACCTGGCTCGCTAGTATCATCTTCAAGCGTCGCAAATGACTTACTAAACCATCCACATTCCAGATATAACCTATGTAAATTGACTGCGATTCATTTTTTTTTAATATGAAGACCCCCCATGGGCGAGTTAGAAGGCGCTTGATCTCTTTAAATGCCAACGGTCAGCAGCCCTGCCTCACAGTTGCCGTTGGGAATTAACGGTATAAGTGCGTGCGCAGTGTGCAGTTTCCGCGGCACGAGGACGAAAAGTACGTGAGACACTTTAAAAACACGTTTTCGTGAAGCTGCACAAAGTTCAGCATACCTTCGTCGACTGAAGGCGAAAGACATGTCCCTACGTCTGCTCTAACCGAGACAATTTACGGAATAAGGTAACTGAGAAGTTGGGATGAATAGCGTCGTAGCACCTCAAAAACTCATTGATACATTAAGATGAAGTACACGTGCCGAAGACACAAACAAGGTGGTTCGCAAGTTCCCTTTGTGTCTACTTGACGGATACATCCATCACTTCGTGGGATTTCAGGGAAACGGGTTCGCAAAGTGTCTCACGCATCTCACGACCTCGTGGCACAAAGATTGCACACTCGCATCTCGCTACAAGCGCGCACTTTTGCCTTTTGATATAGCCCATGAAAGCTAATCCCGGTTTGCATTTGCCATCTCGAGAAAATTGATGGCTTAGTGGGGGCTATTATTCAAGAAGTCTGCTTGGTCGTTATTGGGCCAAATGAAAAGGACACTAATTGGAAAGACTACTGGCTTTTAGATAGCTTCTGCGAGTACGATGCTTCAAAAAAAGCAACCTAATTGCATGTTTCAGATTCGATTCCTGGTCAGTTATAATAGTGCGGTTGACTCTACTCTTTTTACAGTGCAAAGCTAACAAAACGAGATGATAAAGCACGAGTAAGCAAAGGCCAGACACACCAAGATTTCAAGCAGCGGATGATTATTCCACGTGACATAAATTATGCAAGGTACAGAGCGCATACGCTGCTAGTTTGTGCTTGGTAAATAACCTGCATTGAGGATTTGCAAATTTAACAAATAAGCCTTGGACTTTGCAAAAACTCAATTAGACGTGTGTGTGTGTGCGGGTGTGTTAACGCGAACTCAACAAGAGTTGTAAAACCGGTGGGATAAAGAACTTACGTCAGATTTTGGTGAAGTTTAGGGGTTTATGGTAATCGTTGAGCATGAAAACCCCAACAAAGGTCGTCTTGTGGCGCCTACTTTTGAGCGTCTCACACTGACTGCGGTTACCATGACGGAGAGTGTAAACAAACTGGCATGACGACGTTGAATATGTACATGCTAAAATATACCCGGTTGGCGTGTGTGACCAATAATTAACCTGGCTACAATCAAACGGATTAGGTGAGTTTAGTGCTTGTTTGGGAAGGCAAACACGGACACATGACGCAAAGGCCGTAGTGTCGAGAGAGAGGGAGAGAGAGGAACGTGCTTGCGCGGAGATTACCAGCGCAGTTCGGTATTAGGAAGACAGAATCTGCCGTTCGACCTACTCCCTAAACTAATTAATCCACTTAGAAAAAGGAATATTTGCCACGCTGTGGCAGTAGTAGTCTGGCCGATGTCGTGGAAAAAGTGACAGTTGAAGTAAAAACTTGCCCAATTTCAGTATATCCACGGCGAGGTCTGGGCAGTAGGTGCAGAGCGTCGCCAACATGCACGCGATGTCCTGCATATTCGACACTATCGGCGGAGAAGCAGCAATCTGGAATTTAAAAAAAGGAGAAACACACACTAGTCAATGGATTTCCATTCACAACGCCATGTCCGACAAGCGGATGATTGCGTTCGGTGGAAGTTGAACACAAATCCACCAATGTTTCACTGGAGGAACAATGGGTGCAGATGCCAGGAAATTCGGTGTTTTCATTGCACAGAGAAAGCACGATAACTAAGAGACAAGAAGGGGGCAAGATAGCAACTCTCGACAGGCCAGTCACAGTGACGTTGACGCCTACATCTGCTATTACGAAGGCAAGAAAAAAACTAAATTAGCTTCAAGCAGATAATGTATGGAAATTTAGACAATGTGAAGGAAACGATTACGAAAAGTCATCAAGCACAGTTTCGTTAAAAGTAGGGAAACAAAAGATACAATTAGGAAGGTTTATCTGTGGGTTGGGAGGAATCTGGGCGACATAATCACAGTTATACAGTTTCCACGACGTTTCGCTGTTAACTGAATGACATCAGAAGAAATATACGTGCGAAACCTGTTGCATCTGAATTGGTTGGGGTATCGATAACTGGCAAAAACTCCGGGAGTTGCTGCACTAGTGAGGTGGTCACGGTTTCTTGAAAGACGAATGTGTGAGGGAACATTATACACCAAGAGTGGAGGCTTGATTTGTTCCACAACGAGAGGCTACGCAGTTTATGGTGTTTCAATTAAGCCCTTGCCGACCGAAATCCCACGCGAAGCAGACACACTGTTGCAAAATTCGCCGAAATTTTCAAGCCTCCCGCAATGGGAAGAAAGTGTGAGCGTTTAAACAAGGTGATTCCCACCAAACACACATACACACACACGCGCACAATGAATTAGCCACTGTCTAACGAAACCCCAAGTGGGACCGCATATGTTTTACTTGATTTTACAAAACCGAAAGCGCATATTTTTGTGCACTTGGACCAGACCCGCGTCTGGGGTTGCTTAACGCCGAACTGCGATGCCACAACGTGGGTGGTTCTATTTATGGGATTTTGAAATCGCCCGTCCGTTCGTCCGTGTGTGTGAAGTCAGTGTTACCATTGATTCACATGCGCGCGGTAGTTTACTACTTCGGCGTGTGGTCGAGTGGTGGCGTTCCGGTTAAAGCAAAAAACCGGCGCCTATCAGGTGTCGAACGCCAGTCTCGTCTTGGAAATGCATTTACCACATGATTTGCAAATGATTCTGTCACTCCACTAGTGTGATGATGATGCTTGCCGAGGTTAAACTCCGCCCCCGGTGGAACTGGTGAATACGGTTCTATTGCCGAGTGGCTGTGAAACAAGTGAACTACACACAGACAAGCGAACAAGTGCCGTGGGTGGGGGAAGACTCACGAGTTGTTTGAGGTGTTGACACAATCCGAAGGAAGCGATCTGCCTCAATATTTCCGGTTCCCATTTGTAGGCTTCGATGAGACGGGCAAAGCACAAGCAGACCCGCTCGACACAACGCGGTTCTGTGGAGGATCCGGGAGCTTCACAGGCCAGACGGTCGCACAAACTCGGCAAGCAGCTTGCAATGTGCGTGGAAAAGTCCTCGCGACGCACGTCTGCGAAGCAGTTCGCCACCATGGAGAGGATTGTCCGGTGTTGGGCAACCGTGACGAAATCGTAGTAGCCCATTACAGTCTGTGGGGAAGACACAGCTTTAACATGTGATTATAACGTAAGTAAGGGGGGATACAATTAACCATTCACTAGAATTGTCGGAGTCTGAAACGATTCCGTCACACGGAAAACCAAAAAAACCGCATCACAATTGAGGCTTTAGTCCTAAATTTGCAGTCTAACTTCCAACTTCTAACTACTTTTACTGAATGCAATCGCGCACCGACAAGGTGCAATTTCTGCAAAAGCACTCATTGGATACAAAATTGAAAGATTAGAAGACGGCTAAGGTGTGACATGCGACACGTCGAGGCTACATTCTTGGACACGCAGTCACAGAAATCGCGGAAGCCTTGAGTTTGAAGTAACCCTACAAATTTGATTTGTACAAGGCACAAAACATATAGAGCTTCATAATTGCCGGTGCGCACGGTACTTAAGATGCGTCTTGTCTTCACAGCCACAATTGAATAAGTCCCACGACCAGGGTTGACGTGGAAGTAACGGCTGGAAAATAACCACCTAGGAGACCAACACAAAGCAAATAATGTGGGGTGGCACTATAAACGACGTTAAAACAAGCATTCAACCGAATCTGCGCGTAAACGCAAGGACACACGACCGACTCCGTTTGCTCTTTAACTTGAAAAAAGGGGGCGACGCGAGGCAGAAATGCATGGCTACCGAGTAACGGCCGCAAATTCCCTAGCTGTTTGGACAAGCGGGCATCATCAAAGCTTAGTCTACACATGAGGGTCCGCACGGGAAAGCGGCTTAAGAGGAAACAGAAGATGCTGCTGGAATAGAGCCAAGGACGTCCACTGCTTTATCGCACACATCGCCAACAATGAGCTTGCCCGGTGTCTAAGCAACGCATGGATGGTCTCGCATAACATGTTCGCATTAGCATCATTCAGGCATCAGGTCAATTAAACACCGAAAATAAAAAATGGCTAATGGGAAGCATTTTTGCACAATTTACGCGCACGACTGATTTCCCAGTGGACGTTGTGAGAATTTATTAGACCCAAATAATGAAACCCCAACCGCTGATTTCAAATCAGAATTTAGAATGAAAAAAAATGGGAGAACATTTCCTCCATATCAGGTTTGGAAAGTGTCGATGCAAGTTCACTGAATTTAGGCGTCATGGTTGATTTGTGGGTGGGACGGATTAGGACCTAAGGACACGTGAAAAGCTCAGGGAAGTTGAAATGAGGCAAATTAATTAAGTGACAGAGCTATTTTAAGACCTTACTAATGAGGTTGCTAGGTAAGAGCTTTCGTTACACAACCCAGTGGCAGCGCGCACAGCCAATCCCGAGAAAGATGAATTCAAAGCAAAAATATACAGCTTCTGACGTAAAATGTAGACCAGGAACTCACAGCAACACCACCATAGAGGAGGACTTGGCGTCCGTGTCTTCGAGACACCTGTTCGAGGACATTAATGATCCGCTCCAGGATATCACCGACGAAACTGGACGACATGGTGCTGAGTAGCAGGGGGATCGCCATGACCACGGCATCCGCAGCCTTGGGCATTACATCCATCAGATGGGCCAGAATGTTGCAGATGAGGTTTTTCAACTCAATCACCTCCTCGTCAGGCAACGAGGCCAACGACTTCTCTGCGCCCAAGAGGTCGACAATGACGGAAACGAGATTGTGCACTGCCAAGCCCACAAGCGACTCCTCTGATCCCATTAGCAGAGCCTGCGAGACAGAAAGGGCATTCAATTAACGCTATTTTGACGAGGAAGACAGGAAACCCACAGGGAATTGCATAACCGGAGTGGTAACCAACCAATAGGATCAGGAGCTCGTCTAATTAAGTTCAAACCGCTGGTTTGTACAACTACATAAGTGGCAAACGACTGTTCATAAAGCAAATTTAAAGAATACACGGCGAACGATTGTTGTGATACACCATAATCACGTGATGACATGGAATAGCGTAAATGCACCAGATGAATTATGGATCTATGTGCGGTGCAGTCCTGTCCTAGCGCAAATACAGACGCCCATGGTAACGGAATCGGCAGTTTAGTAAAGCCGAGGGGTGCTAAGTACCTCGCTGCCACCGTGAAACGGTGAACTACGCACGGTCACGGTGTTACCCTTACTGACGGTCCAAAACATTCAGGCAGGGGAATGAGCAGTGTTGAAGTGAGTTTTTACCTGATTGATTTCCTGTAGTATCACTAGTTGTGAGGAGACATCCCCGAAAGACTGTTGAAGCTGTAAAGTGCGATAATTAATGCCCGAACCCTGCTGTTGGCCTTGTCCGTGATGATGGTTGTGGTGGTGTGAGGCAAACGCACCGCCAGCACTGCCGCCACTTGAAGCAGTTCCACCGCGTCCTCCTGAGCGGCCTCCTCCTACAACCAGACCCCGTTTGCCCGCATCCTGTCTAGTGGAAGGTGCATTGCGGTGTTGCCGCTGACGAGATGATGAGGAGGAGGAAGAGGAAAAGGAAGTGACAAAACGAAGGAGTCCGCCACCGCCCGCTGTGGTGGCATTCGACAAATCGTGAGAAGTTGTTGGCTGGGGAGGATTTGTGAAGTCAATGCCGTCGGGGATGAAGGAAGAAACGGGTGCTGACCCAGCTGGTAGAGTCATTTTACTGGCTGAAGATGAAGATCCTTAAAGGGAGAAAATTAAAAGTTAAATCAGAGAGGCCGGGTTAGAGGGGACGTCCCAGTTATGGGAAAGGTTTAGTTAACAAAGATATTGTGTAGACCGCCTAAAGTAATTTTGATTTCAATTCGAATCCAGAACTTCACAGAACACCAGTACAACATGGTTATTGGTGAAGACACCGAGAAACAACCCCCTCCAATCAAACGATTAAAATATTGGTTTATGACCGGCATGCAATAAAATTGTTCAATTCGGCACTGTGATTGGTGGGAGCCGACGACAAGATGCAATCCACAGCTGACTAGGCCCTAATTATTCAAAAGTAAAACCACATGACAAGACGCTCCGCATTACTAATTATTAATGGTGGTGTCAGCCAAACTACTTAATTAATGAAATTGAAAGACCTAACTATGCATACCGGAGAATTTAGGCGAAAATCAATTCCAATGGGAAAAAATGGGGAAGATTGGGCCCGACAAGTGAGCAGAGGTCGAATCGAACGTTGAGGTTAAAATATGCGCCGAAGATGACGACTGGGTCAAAAGCCCGTAATTAGCACGAAATCAATACAATGAAAGACGGTTCGGTTTGTTTTTTTTTAACGCCAAATCAAAGAAAGCAAACTAGACTTCTATCCCCCAAGTTTCCAAAACCAGGAGATTAACTAGCGATAAACCCAGGTCACACAACGCTTGGACTACGATTTTTAGGCAGCCAGTGGGCCTGCGTGATAGATCCATCGCACCGGCAAACGCACTGCTTGACTAGCAGCTACTGACGGACGAATGCATTCGCATTTGAGTATGACAAATTGGACTCAGATCGCGGTTGGTGCTTAAGTGGCATTAGCCATCTCAGAAGAACACAGGCATTGAAAGATGAGCGCCTGAAAGACGAGTAACCGCGCGAAAGCCCTACACACACGAGCAAGCGATCTCACTTGCTTCCGCCAAATCGGAGCTGTGGTAACAAGTAATTAGTCTGATAAACCAAGAAGTCAGGAGGCGGTGTGGGTTAAGCGGGGATTACGTATATCCTTTATGTTTGTTATGAGTGATGTTACAGACTGCTGTCAAATACTAAACGGAAGAGAATTCAGGTTGCTCACGAAGGTAGCGCGACCCCTGTTACGACTCATGGCGTATCTTTAACGAGCCCGCTTACAGCACACTCCTGTTTAACGGTTAATTGGCTGTCTTTTGAAACGGCAATGGCACAACGCCGATCAAACATTAGCACTGATTTTCCACAAGATTGTATCTCACCCATTAACTAAGGCATCAATTATTATTTTGTGCAAATTGAGGCGAAATGAGGCACAAAGCGATGCCGCTGTTAGATCGAACATTCATTGAACCAAAGGACCTGAAATGAACCTTTACTAACAGGCTGGCCAACGCTGGTGCACGAATTATTTGCGCGCAGATTTACTAATGACCCACAAACTGGTAAGCCAACGAATGATCCGACATGAAAAACTACAATGCTCGAGTGCACTGAGCAAGCACCAACTGCCAGACAAGCACACGGATGGATCAAGTACAACCGCAAACGCTGATTAGTACAGTGACTCCATTACCTGCACAGAGCTTATGGCACTGCCCATGTTTACACAGGCCTAATCTGCATTCAATTAGAACGTTTTTAGTGAGTGTGCACGCAAAACAGAGGTGTAATTGTTAGGTTACAAGTTAAACAACGCTAATCCACATTCAGTCCTAGGTATGAACCTCGTTGAACTCGGCGTGATGTCAGATCGGAGGCATCTGTGTTAGCCAAAGAATCGTCTAATTTGGAAACCAATGCACAAGAATGGATCCCTCCTGGATATATACTGCGAGGTTTGTGATCGCCTTGCGTGGTCCCCCAACACGAATAGACCGACATTTGGAAAAAAAGCAGCTTGTCAGAAACTGGTGCACCAGTAAAAAAGCACACAGCTAAAGGTGGCAATGCAGGCTTGATTTGCAGTCCGCTTGTCTTACCAAAGTTAATCGTATTAGCCGCTAATAATAATAATAACCCTGATTACAGTGTTCTAGAATTATTCAGTTAAACGAATGGAAGGTCAGAATTCGATTCCAGGCACAGAATCAAGAAAAAGCCTCCACCAAAAAAGCCGCTCACAAGTAGAATCTGAACTAAAACCAACCAATATTGAACCTCGCCAACGGTAAAGAAAATCTGTTTCAGATCGATGTCGTGGGTTTCAAGACTGAAGCCTCTAACCCAAAGGCAAAATCACGATCTTCAAATTGCAAGTCGACACGCAACATGTTATTATTCAGATGCACGGAATTCAATTTGATATTTTGTTTTTTCGTGTCAGTGGTCTTCACTCCGAGGCAAGCATCTCAAATTTCATTGGCTTAAGGCGAGGTAAGAACATTAACGCCCACAAGGGTGGGCCTTAGTGACTACTGGCCTTACGCTAAAGCCAGCTTCGCTCTTCAAGAAGACGAGTTTTGTCAAAAGAGTAGCTGTTTACCTAACTGACATTTCAGAGAACAAAGCAGACGACCTGGTTTATTTGTTCAAGTCGCTACACAGGCTTGTTTGGAGAACATAACTGAGCGGTTCATGTTGAAAAAAGCATTCGAAAAACAGGATTTCGGAAGATGGTGGAACAATAATTTCAAAATCGCAATGGCAAAATTAAGAATGGGACGTTACGAACACGCACAGACTAAAAGCAACCCCATGTCATTGAAAAATGGGAAAAAAATATATACACAATACAAGTGTGTAGGTATATTACCAGCAAAATACCAACTTTCCCGTGCGAAATCAATTCAATTAGGAAATTTTGTCCCCAGCGAACACAATTTCCACATACATACTTATCTGACAGATAAAAAGGTTGATAACGGTTCCACTCCAGGCATAACCCCCCCCCCCCCGATGAACCCATGATGAATAACTTATGATTAAGATGGAGTGTTGCAATGCGAAAATATTATCACCAGCCATGACGGAAAAGTACGTCTTGCCTACAGCAAAAGTTCGATGAGGAATGTAGGGATGCGCAAATGTGAAGCGTCAAACTTAATTTGGCTGGCGCAGTAAGAAGGGCCAATTAACCAGTCTTCTCAACAGTAAACGAGTATTGATTATTGTAGTAAAACTACTGGAATATGGTACTTGAAATACTGGGAAAAATACCTAACGTCGCACACCGATATAGTCACCTGATCTACAAAAAACACGTGGAATTCACACGGGCCATCAGATTTACATAAAGTGTAATCGAAAGTGATTAAATAATTATACGCTTAAATATAAATAAAATACTTAAAAAACAGGCCCAAGACACACTATTCGTAAGCGTCTTTCCAAATATGATTGAAGACTCCCAGAAATGTGGATCGTGAAAGTGCGGAAGGACAACAGATGGCGCAATACACAATTTAGCTGGAGAATAAAATAGTTTTTTTTGCTAAGAGAAGGCATTTTTACGTCTAAATATAAAACGGAAGATAGATTTTCAAATTCCTGACAAATACGTAAATGGGGATGACGGTGCTTTTACCTAAATGTTCCTAACATTATGGCATACGATGATTCACCTAACACACGACTAAATTCACATCCATGCAAAAAAGTAATTACGGTTTCGTTACATAGGAGTTAGAGATTTAGTGCAAGTGTGTTCTATATGTTTGAAGGCATCCACATGGCCACACGTAGTAAAATAAAAGCATGCGCACCAACCCACGGAAATACAAGGAGAAAAATTGGCGTTTTGGTGAAACTGGTGAAGGAAATCGGCTTAAATTTTACAAGATCTTTTAACATAAAGCGATTTCAGTTCTATGCGGTGTGATGTAACATAACCCGAGATATGTGTTAATCACAAGAGGTTTACACACATTTAAGCAGTAGCAATGTAATAACACCTTGGAAGTTAAATAACAAAAAAACTATATCGCTGAATTAGACTCATCAATAAATCACAAGAGACAAACCTGAAAGATCTATTGCCGTTTGATCATCGGCGGTGTTGTTGGCAAAGCAGGTGAATGAACGGAACCAGCCTCCACCGCCACCGTCATTGCCTCCACCGGATAAGTCGAGTTCATTACGACTCTTTGCGCCACGAGTTAAGACTTTAGTTGCAGACGACTTCTGTGACAGCTCACCGAAATCAGCCGGCATCTCGTTGATTGTGGGATGTGATGTAGGTGAAAAGATTGTGGGATGTGATGTAGGTGAAAAGAAGCCAAAGTCAACTTGCTGATGTTGATCAATGATAGATGGGTCCCCCGTTGAACTGGCACCAACATGCCCTTTCCCCCGCCTAAAATGAAATGAAATTGACACTTTGCCCTTAGATCATACACTTCAAACAAACTAAATTGAAACGCACAGCTTTTTGCTGTTACAGGAACCCGTTTTTCCGCGATTGGGAAATCCTACGGGTAAATCTTGCTCACGATTGGAGTTTGAAGGACCCTTGTGATCCAAGGTCTGGATTATTGGAGTACTGAAACCAAAATGGTCGATGAAAAATTAAAATACCAACTTGCTGAAAAAAGGCAGACAAAATTAATCTAACCTAGGGTATTCTTGGCTGTGAGCACCAAAAACTTCCGCAAAACAGTGGCTAGTGACCTGGGTGCAGTTTCGGCGACGTTGGATGGACGCCAATGAACCAATACAGTCCTCCTCTACTTCTACGCGCCTTCGCTTCGAATGGCACCCGACAGCAGTTAAATCGTCAGAACTTGCAGCTGACGGACAAGCCTGTTCTGAGGAGCGTGGAGTTTCAATAATAGAACTTTCACTGGACAAGTCAGAAGCTGAGGGTATACGTCGTTTGGTGTGTGCACGACTGCCCCGAGTCAGCTCGGGTTCTAAGTAGTCTGTTTTGACCCTGACACGGCTGCTGAGGCTGGGGGACGGCTGGCCAAGACGTGCAGATTGCTGATAGGAACGCGATCATTATTTAAATAGCGAAAAAGACAAGTTAAACAGAAATTTGCCACGAATTCATAAAAGTATAACAAGAGTGACTTATTCTAATGAGTAACTTGCCTTTCGCAGTTCAGGTCTGCTGTTATACCTACCAGAAGAAAACATACTGAATTAGATTTTCAATTTACCTATGGGGTAGTCCTTTGTTTTGTTTTCCTATTGAAGTTGTGCGCTGCGTGGCGCGTTTTCCAGCCATGAGATGAAGATAGTCGTGTCAAACATTGATTAGGAAAGCTGTAAAAATGTTAGAGCTGACCGACCAATGTTCGAATGCAAATATGGTTCTTTGTTATGTGTGAGTCAGTGTAATCGACAATATAATTTCATAAAAGCCTAAACATCACATATAAAAAAGGAAAACTGCATACTTTATTCGACAAAACCGTACAGTTAGGCCTTTCTTCAGAACGTGGAGACAAAAGTGCAATACTTTGTAACAATCAGCTGATCGACTAGACCAGAAGAATGTATGTAAACCCTAGCAGTTTAAATAAACAAGTAAACTAAAGAAATCACAAAACACATAAAAAATATTTTAAAAATGCTTTTAGTTAATTGCAAGAGTTCTCTGGTCAAATATTAAAGCATCTGTGACATTTCAGTATCATTTACAAGGCTTTTTCTGGATATGTCTTACGCAAAAAACTGTTAAAGATAATCTTCTTCCAAAAATCCAATATAGCTGCACATATAAACTAAAAGAATTCTATTACTTTTCTTGTAGCATTTAATTATAGAGGTTTATATGTAGTCTGGATCAAATATGGCTTGATTGTACCTCAATAACTCCAATCGATAAATTTTAAACTTCTAATATCTAATGCATAATTAAACCGAAAACATATTTCCCTCAATGTATTGTCAATATCTAAATTAGACTGAAGTATTAATAAGAATAAATGATATTTTTGCTTCTGCATAAGTTTAATAAACCTCTCAGGTGTTTTTTTTCGGAATGCTGATTTCATTTGCACTACACTAAAATGTTTCATGTCCTCAAAAATCAGATTTCGTGTATCTTTTCTGTTTCAATAATTTGGATAGCTTAGCTAAATGTGTCTTAGGTGCGATTTAAAGTTTAGTTTGCGAACAAAGGCTATATTTTTGACAATAATATTAAAATTTGCTATCGAGATTGACAGAAACTATTTTTTCTGAAATTTCTAGAATCACTAAGAACTTCCTCAAGGTATTTTATAGGTCTAATTTTCATATAACTATACTTAATAACCTTAACTTACTAAGAATAACATCGGTTACTGCACAAATTAAAGCTCTAAATCTCTAAACCTCTCTTGAATTAGAATACCTCGTGGCCGCATATGACTAAACATCACTCAGTCATTAACTTTTTTCTGTGATCGCTTCCAACGTCATTAGGTAGCCAATTACCTGCCTTTTCGTACATGTGTGCATTAGAACCTGCGTCTCCTTTAAATTAAGTTAAACGCGTGTACGTTCGAAAAGTTCAATCCTACAAATAGATGTACCAGGCACCTAATTTTGGTTCGTAATACTTTTCTACAATTCAGCACTAAAGTGATTTAATTTTGATGATTTGGCCCCACTGAATATTTTGTTGCAGCTTTGCATGACTTGAATTTTACAGAATTGCCTGTTAAGACTACCATTATGCTGCAAAAAACGAATACCTTTGATGCATTTTAAAAGTCGAAGGAATCGAATACAAGGTTTCAGAACACCGGACGACAAGTCAATTTGTGTTATACAACCTCTAAGAACATCGCAGTTTGCTATGGCGTCTAATCAGCAGCACATTCGGTATTGTATTCTATTCGGAATCCAACTAGGAAAAAAAATAATTCAAAAACACGTGGAACCTATTTCATAGCGCTTTTGGTGCCGAAGTTGGGTCTCAAAAAATGGTTTTTGAATTATTGATTTCGATCTTTGTGACCTCCCGCGACTCGGACACATACCCTAGAAGGTCTGAAGCAGGAGAATTACACTTAAAACGTTGACACCAGGATTTTGAGATCCAGAGAAAAGCAATTAAACGGAAAGAAGTTTAATTTTGCAAACCGAGTTATAAATAACAAAAAATCTAACTAGCAAAATTCAATTATGATTTTGACGTCTGTTTAAGCCATATAACAAATATAAATTTTCCTTTTTTATAACGGCTTCATTATGCTGCCACCTCTTTATCCTGTATTATCTAACCGGTTCATTTGCTTTAGTGCAGTAAACCTTTGTTCCAAATGAATCTGTGGAGGAGACATCATGTTTCTCAGCCAGGCAAAAAACACCACACACAAGCCTTTGTAGGAATTAGTAATCATTAAATCCACAGAATTATGACGTTCCCATTACTTTTCCGATTTGTTACATTATTTGGTTCGCAATAGTATCCAGGTGACCGAAATAAAGCTTTTACAAAAAGCAGTGCATATATTAAAATCGCAGAAATTTATGCATTTCTCGTTTCAAAAATTGGATCAAAAGTTTTTTCATGTAATTCTGTTCAATATTTTTCAATGAACTTTGGCGTTTACTTTTCGTTTTCCACTATGAAGCCTACGGCACAATTCAGTCCTTTACATAGCTCAAATCAAAATTATTTGTGTAATTTAAGCTAATTCTGTGGCTTTTTAGCTGTCATTTGTGCGAAATTAAAAAGTTTGCATTAAATTACTATAATGCGTCTTCTTTGTTTGTGCAGTTACATTGCATATTAGGGTCATTCTTTGATGTTGACGCGCTGCAATTAACTAGGTAAAAGGAAATTTTAGCAAAAACCTTTTGTATCAGAAACGTATTGTTTATTATGCTTTGGTACTGCGTTAAATATTTGCATAACTAATTTATACCATAACGTTAAATCTTGTTCCTAAAGACAAGGTCGCTGGGTTTTTTCCGTGTAAATTTAGGTAAAAATATCTATCCTTTTTCGCTACTTTGGCCACAGCGCAAAAATTTTGAAGAATTAAACATTTTTAGACATATGCTGTAACATGAATTAATTTAGGCAAATAATCCCATCAGTTTATGCCGTAATATGCCAAAAATATTTAATCATACGGGAAAATGTTGGAGAAATTATCTAATGTATTTTTTTTTTCAATTTTGTCGCTTTGGAATGATCGCTAGATAATATATTCTAACATAGAAGTCACTTGAAGCTAAATCCGCCTGTAAATGTCTAATTTCATTGCAATACCCTTTTAATGCATGTATTTTATATAACTTTGTTTTTTAGACTTAAATGAGCAGCCACGTCCGTAGACTTCAGTACCAACAACAACAACAACGACAGGCTCAGTTAAATCGCCACTATGTGAGTGGTAGTCTCTCATCGTTGGGCAAGCGCGGTGCTTATGATGAATCGCCTGCGGCCTATGAGGGCACCTTACCTGCTGCTGGCACCTCTCATTTAGGTGGCATTGAAAGCAATGTGGTTCGTCCCTCTCTAGGCTCTGTGGTGTCTTTCGACAGGCAAGGCTATCCTAGTCAAGCTCGTGGTGGCAGTATGATGAGTTACAATCCACCGTCTACTGTTGCTGGCAGATCTCTGATTGGAAGGCCCTCTTTGTACGCAAAAAGCAGTTTATATCGTTCCAGGAGTCTTGGCGCCTCAAAAGTAAACCGGTTTGCAAATTCCTATTACCCGAAGGCCTAGTTACTAAAATGAGTTTTTAAGTTTTTTGAAGCTCCCATGGAATTTAAATGACTTTTAAAGCTGTCTAACGTCTTGATTTAATTTTAGATCATTTTACTTCCTATTAGCACATCTTGCAAATTCCTATAATCACAGAAACTATTTTAATTCATAACAAGGCTTTTAGAATTAATCTGTAACTTATCATTTAGCTCATAATCTTGTAAAAATGTCACGGAAACATGTCTAAGATTCTAACCATCAAATCGATCAAATTTTCAGTACTGATGCAAATCCAAATTCCGGAATCATTTCTTCACAGCATTTTCAGAAAAACAATCTTGTTGTTGTCCCAAATGAATCATTTATTTTTAAAAGCTGCCCGGAGACTGGTCAGCATAACTTCTACTTCGCTTAGAACCTTTCTTAAATTCACGCCATGCTTCTGTCAGTTCTCCAAAAAAAATAAACATAAAAGCAAGTTTCAATCTCATAAACATTTCAGAAATCTGAAGCTGTTTTAATTACCAACCAAATTAACTAATTATTTTTCACTGTAGAAACAGGCTAATTTTTCATTAACTCCTTTGGCTTATTTTCAGATTTTTTCGGTATTTTCTGCAAACAAAGCCTTTGGGCAGACACCGAGGATCATCATGATACCGAGTTGCAAAAAAGGTTGTCCAATATTCTAGATTGACCGAAAGAAAGCCGAGTATCCGAATTGACACTAGATGACGTAAAGTTTCCAACTCTAACTAAACATTATCTTAAAACTCTATAAGCGAGCCATTGAATGGTTTGTGGCGTTCAAAACAGACACATTGGAATTTCGCTAGTTCGATAGCAGAGTTATCGTAAAGTGCACATTTGAGACGTTTATTCAAACGGCATCTATGTGGACCTATCCTCTAACCTAATTATAATAGGCAGGAAGCTAAATATTTAGAGGAAGGTAGGCATAATTGTGTGATTACAACTGCCTGTTTTGGAGTCCAGTAATTAGACCCAGGAGCTCACATTCCCATCGTTAAAAAAGGCGCGCGAATTTGCGCACTGTGTTGGGGCTTTGTAAACATTTGAATTGAGCCGCCTTGTCAAAGATAGGTCCCAATCACGCGAGAAACATGCTTTAAGTGTTGGCAAATTCCTGAGGATTGTAGGCACGCTACATTCGTTGTGCTGTTCGTTAACGTGCACTTTTCTCTGGCCAGTTACTTTTGTGCGTTGAGAGGCTGAGAGTGGTTAAAGTAAATGCATTGTTTGATGGCTACAGTCCATCAGCCCGGTAATACTTTGTTCGCGAACGTGAAATGTCGATATCACTTTTCGGGTTAAAACTCTCATAGTAATTGTTTGTTTGATAATTCTACAAAATCCATTAATCCAAATTATTGAAATATTTGATAGTAAAGATCGGGAAACAGAATTGAGAGGTAGTTCTATCATGCGGATAGTTGGGTATTTTTCAGCACCCACGATCGACTAAATGTTAACCCTAAAAACCAGATTTTTTCGTTAAATTCGAGTCTTAATCCACATTATGTAGTTGGTGAGGGACACCACGGGCAGCAGTGCAGATGAGTATTAGGTTTTCTGAACCTTTCATGGAAGCTTTGTCGATGTGAGTCTCGATTAAGACATGTCGATGAGACGTAAATTAAACACATTAGCTATCAGGGTCCAACAGTTTACGTAGATTTCAATCAATTACTTCCAATAAAAAGTTTAGAAATAATTGTTATTGATTATTTGATTGTACATCGGCAGAACACGGCTTACACCTACATTTTGTATCGATTGATCTTTGTTATCGAAGAAGTTGTCGTTACTAAACTAGTATTCAATGATTTTGCCGGGAAAGAGGGAGTTCATGGCAGAGAACTTTTGGAGGACCAGAAATGAGCACCGCTTTTGACCGGATTGCTTCTTTCCACTTGTGAAGGCCTCCCTCGCGACCGTGAGAAGCGGCCGGTCGACAATTCAGGCTGAGCACCACGACCGCAAGGTGCAGCTTCTCATTAATGCGGTCGACTTCAAACGTGCCACCAAACCCTACTTCTGGTCCGTCTTCTTCTTCACCATGTTCCTCTTTACCCTCTTCCTCGGCTTACTCATTATCTGCCTACGCCACGTCTACATGAACCTCATTCTCTCCGTTGACATCGGCGAGTCGATTGGACCAATCCTGTGCGGCCTCTCCTTCCTCTTCCTCGGCGCTGGCTTCAAATTCCTCTACGATGCCTACCAGACGGGGGCGCGGGAACGACAGAAGATAAAGGTAACTGCCTGCAGCGTCGTCAGCCAGATACTTCACGGATGCAGAATCTCCGAAGGTTTTTCTGTAAATGCCTCAAGTCAGACTGGCCCATGTTTGAGAAAGAATACAACATTTCCATCCAGATGGAACAAACCTACAAGGTCATTCCACTGGCCAATTAAATTGCTAGGTTAAACGGCCAGTAGTCGGACTTTAACCTGGACCACTCGAATGCACTGCAAAACAAGGCGCTGGGGTTTTTTAGCAGCCAACCAATTGCATGTTTTGCCTATGTCTCCTTGTTTGTCTTTTAGTACGTGCCAGATAGTTCTACGACTGTGGCTGTCAAGGTGACAACTGCGCCCGCGGTCGATGCTACGTGAGTTCAACAACAATTTCTACCCCGAGCAGGTCTTGTTTTACACAGCAAAGCTAAGAATAAGTGCGCGCTACCTTGCTCGAATTGGGATAAGTTACGTAAATACGCTGATCCAAAACCCACGAAAATGGCCACTCAAATTTCGGAGCTCACATTTTGAATGTCTGAGGCCAGTTCTTTGGTTTAGGGCCGCATAAACTTGACACGTCTTTTTCACCGGCTGTGTAAATTTCCAGCCCGCAACTCACTGCGTAGTCCTGAGTGCACACCTTCCTACTTTTAACTAGGGTCACTATGCTCTGTGGTGATTCAAACAAGAACTCGACACACTTTCTTTTAATTTCCTAGAGAAGAACTTCTAAGTGGAAAAACAACTGAGAAGGCTCTAACTCGAGCTCCGATTGGAACGCGGACTGTCAATCCCTCGGTTCTTTCCTATTAGTAAATGCTGTTCACGCTACACACCGGATTCTACCTAGTGGGCATCTCGAAATTCGGACAGTTTAGAGTACAACACAAGCGCTTTAAGTCAACAGATCACCAGACAGCCGACAGTCTACTTTCGTGTGTTGAGAGAGGCTGAGAATAGTTAAAGTAACTGCAGTGCTTAATGGCTGCAGCACATCTTCAAGATTAATGACAGCTATCGTGACTTCTTAACCAATCGAAAATGCTTACCACCAATCGCAGCATTTCATGATCTTTTCGACGCATTTTGCTATCTGCGGCACCAGAAGTTAAGGAAAATGACAAAAAACGGCCCTGGACAACGTTCATCTCATGAGTTGCTATTTCTTGTGACTTTAACAGGACAGTCATCATCCTTTTTATGCCACGTGCCGTGACTGGGTGAGTAGATGAGACGTAAACAAGGAAAATAACTTCAATCAAGGAACAATGATTGTGGGTGAGCACAACTACAGCAGCTAACCTGGATCATTATGGATCGGTTCAAAACATGCACGCTTGATATGAACGGAGGAAATGTTAGAAAAAGCAAGAATTAACTTCTCAGGATGTCTTAAAACCACGGAACATCAGTGTATGATCAAATATTGTAACAGATGAGAAGCATTCCATTATGTAATTGGCGCGATTCTTAGCTCCCTTCGACAGGCATAAATTTTGATGGAATTCATTCAACTCAAAGTCCAGAGCGATTTGAAAATTAAGACAAATCCACTATTGGATTGGAATCGACAGTCCGAACGCGAATAGCTTAACACAACTCCAGCATCGAAATCCACTACACCGGATTTCTGATCTGACGAAGCTTTCAGAAGCACGCACTGGTGTCTCGGCATCAGCAAAAAAGTAGGCACTGGGCGTTGGCTCCACCGGTGGGTGCTAGGTCGTCTCCGAATTCGATTCGACAGAGTGATGCTCTTCTGTCTACTTACTGCGTTTTGCAGTAGTGATTAATGCATCTTTTTCTTCAAACATTAGACTGGTACGTTGCACAGGGGGCCAGTACACATACTGAGCTTGGATAACATCTAGGGCGAAAGCTGAACATCGAGTGTGTAAGTAACAACAGGCATTGGCTCTAATTTCTCAAGGAATAGAGGTCACATTTCTCACTAGTACCACGCCTTACTCAAGCGAGGCCAGACCACCCAACCATGGACTCATTTGCAAATAAAATCCAATATATTAGTTGAAAAGAAAGTGCATTTAAGTAGTAAACTAGACGCTAGTGACGTGCAACTTGCATTGAACAAGGGCTAGGCTAACCGGAGCAGTGGGTAGACCCGGCTTGGAAGGTAGGTGAAATCTAAATGCACAGGGATGGCGTCGGTCACAAGGTTTGGCCATTTGGCGCGGGGATTCGGCTCGGGCGGCTTTGGTCTTTTCTCCGGTCTGGCGGCGAGCAGTCGACAGACGATGTCGTTGTTCTTCGCCACGTGGTCCAGTTGTGCCAGGGTGTCGACGGGGCCCAAGTGGGTCGACGGCGAGCCCAGAGTCTCGGCGGTTTTGATCCACTGGCGCACAACCCCATAGACCTTACTCGCCATCTGGTAGAGCTCACCCGTGGGCGGGTCCGCGAAGGTTCGGCCGACCAGGTAGTCGTGCGTCGTCTGCAGTGTCACCGCGGGCCCGCCAGATTCCGCCAGGGGCGATGAGGGCGCGCTTATGACCGGGGCCAGGCGGTGGTAGAACTGCGTCTTCAGGGAGCAATAAAAGTTTCGACGCGAACCAGACGTCGCACCGTCCGAGGGGCTAGTTCGAGGCGCGTTCAGACCATCGAGGTCAATTCCGAGGTCGCGGTGTAGGGCTCGCATCACGTAGACTGTCGCCGCACACATAAATCGGTGGACATTCGATTGGGCCATCTGAAACACAAGACACACAGGACTCAGTCTAAGCCTATTAAAACCCGAAGTGCTTAGGGCTGGAATGGCAGACCAGGGTCGTGACAGCGAATCGATTTTGCCCAATTTTGATACACTTCTTACCGCGCTGTGGATTAGAGTGACGCCACGGCAAAAGGGGATGTCTTGATGTCCGCATGCAGTTCCGTTACGAATAATCAAGTAAACTTCAGAGGTGGTTGATGTCAACTGCATGACAACGTGGCGGTCTTTAAAGGAAAATTCACACGTTTTGTAGAACTTGAATGCACACACAAGTATGTTGGTAAATGGTGGGAAAAGCGCAGTTTACCATGAAAATTTGTTAAGTCAAAAAGTCTAATATTTACGGATGAGTAGCAATACTTGAACTGATAAAGTAAATCTATATGTCTTTATTAGGCAATCAATGAAATAACCGATATTCCAGCAGTGACACACAAAAGACACGACAAAGGAATCACCCAAAACCTTGCCTGGTAATTCCAGTAATTTGGACTAACTACTGGCAAGGTCAGCAAAGAAGAAAGCGGTGGTAGAGGTGGACTCTTCGTATCGGTGCTTGCTCCGTTATCGGCAGGTTTACCGACAACCGCATTCGCCTGTTTACCGCGACGGCGTCGTCGACCTGTTGCAGCGGAGTTTGAAGCCTGGTTAGCCGGGTTTGAAGCTCCTTGGTCGCCGTCGTCTTCGCAGCATAACTCCTTCAGAATGTGTGCCAGAAGACTCGAAAGACTGCGCTGGATGGTAATTATGAATGCGTAGGCATAGACCCATTCGTAGCAAGAGTACAACTCCAAGTGGAAGCCAGTGGCAACGTAGTCCCACACCAGGTGGTAGTAGAAGAAGCAGATGTAGGCGGCGAGATGCAGGGTTATTGGGGGGTCAGTCAGTGAGGGCTGTTTCTCGGTGAGCTCCACCACGAGGGAGCCCTCGATGGAGCAGGAGTCTTCAAGGAGCTCGTGCATCCGACAAAACAGCCTCTCCATGTTCGAGCGTTGGCGCGACCGATTAAAGGCGTAACCCCGACATATCTAAAACAGGGCAAGGAATCCTAGACAAATGTGAGTGCAGGCTCGTGGAGGAAGTAAGACAAGTTGAAAGCTCTGTAATAAGTGATGGAAACAAAAATATGTAGAGTGACTGATATTGATTATTTTGCCATTAATTAGCAGCTACATTGAAAAAAAGAACGCGACGAAGCTACAGGAAGGCTTGAATAAACATCATGACGAGGAAAGCGGTAAAAAAGAAACAATAATCTTGATGCAATGGGTTCGATGTTTCAAAAGGACAGGATAACGGTGCGGCGAGTTTGTGCGAGGTTAAAAATCCAACACATTTTCACTGAATGGGATACTCATTTGTATTACCCAAAATTGTTAACAACTCATAATTTTCAGGGCAAATAGTTAGGCGTTGTTGAGTCAGAACCTGGCGCCTTAAATTAAAAGACCTTTTGATTCATCATTTTAAAGCACAAAATGGCAAAAATTGATTTTAATTGTAGTCAAGAAAATAGATGATGCAAATACGGATTCATGCTACAACCAATTAGTGAATAGTGTGGATGAAGTAGCTTGTGGTGCAAGTCTTGTGTAGTGTTAACAATTTCTACGTAATGACACCAAAAGCACAAGTCCTCTGTCTAAGCATGCTTGTAGACGCCAATCGAGAGTTAGTAGAAACGAGCCCGTAGAGCACCTCGGATGTGATAAAACTTTAAAGGGTGATTTCCCACTAGGATACCTACATAGCAATTCTCGATTTCGCCATTATTTTACACGCTATGTATTTATTGAATAGATATTCTAATGTCGAGCGTGGGCGAAAACGAATTCGATTATTTAGTTTGAATTCACTTCACGGAGCGATGGCTCTTTGCTTTCCCGGTCGGCCCTACAGCAACCCAATGAAAGACGAAAAAGCTTAAAACAATAATAGCAGGGAGTTTATGAACACCTGGCCAATTGAGATTCTCCACGGGAAGGTAAAATGAAAATGTAAGGACATGGGACCAACTCATCTGCAAATTTTTATACGTTTTCAACGTCCAATGTGGTACCAACATACTGGAGAATAAAATTCGGCCCGAAGGGAAACAAAGGACCTCAGTTTAACTACTAAGACATGCACAAATAATATAGAAGGGCTTTCGGTTTCACTCACACGCACTGAGCTTCTGCACCCAGAGGTTTCTTAATCAAAATTAATCAGGCAGTCCCACTCAAAGTAACTGAAACAAACCGAAGTCATGAAAGTGCGTCGAAGTACGAATTTGTCAAGTTCCATACTAGTTAGAATTAAAAATAAAACGAAAATAAAGGCATGAGATGACGGAAGGTACAAAGTTAGCAAATGTTGACTCACTGTAAGAAGTTGAGAGTTTGCGTGTTCGAAAAATGATCCGTACTGATTGAGAACAGAGGCATTATCAAGCAAACAGTTTCGATTCCGAGTACACTCGATGGAAATCCACGAGGTTAAGAAGTGCATCGCTGGTGTGCTCAAATCCAAAGCAGATAAGAAACGCTCGTGTAGATTTAGGGGACACTGTACAACAGCTGACATAACTATACACAAGATTCCCCTTGAAAGCGCACAGGATTTGGAACAAGCGTCCTCTACTGCCAGTGCAGTTGACAATTCTGTGTCCTTATAAAGTGGGTGACAAAAGTTATGACCGAAACTATGGACAAGGGTCCACAAATCACAAAAGTGAACGACGTGCTGAGGGTTGCTAGAGTATAGTGATTTCATGGCTTGAATTATCGTTTTGACGCGACAGAATGCACACATAAGAAAAGAAAACGCTGCAGATCTGCTGAGGTTTCTAGGAAACCGTTGAACAGTTGAAGGAAGGAAGGCTTGAGTCAAAAATGGCTCAAAACCTGGAAGATCGAAGCTCTCAGTTCGGGGAAACTGCTTTCCCAGACCAGCTTTCCGACCATACTCGGAGGTTTTTAGCACGGACTTGCAAATTTCTGTGAGATCAGTTGATGTTTCAATAGCCTTATCGCAAGCGATATTAAAAGAGGCTGAAGACATATCCATTCTCTCAAGCGAAGGCGATCTATGAAATGACGAGACTGAACCAAATCCTGCAAAATCTGGAGCGTCTCGAGATTCGTCAAGGTCACTTTCGAAAACAGCTGACACAAAAAAAGAGAACCTTAGGACAAACGTCAACATGAGTCTCATGAACTTCAGCCGATCATGTAAGGCAGATCTCATTTCAAACGAGTCGGATGAGGATTCAGTTAGGTCATTCTCCTCTTTTTCCAGTAATTTGATTATATTCTCATAAGAGAGGTCGAACAACGAGTTCACAGCCTTTCTTTCAGAAAAAGACTTCTTGGTGTCAAAATGTAATGGGACACCATTAGTCAACGGGCAAAAATCCTCTTCTTCAAAAACAGGCATTGTCAGTAACAAGCGGCGAAAACCTACGATAACACGCCTTAAGGTTTCACAGAAGACAGCAAGACGAGGGTCCTCAATGAGGGGTATACAGTGCATATACATACATGTATAAACAGTTTGAACGAGGGAATCACCAGTAATCCAATTAACAAACAGAACAATCAGTTCGTCAAATATACCCAAAATGGTGCTCAAATCAGTGAATCGGGTAAGGAATAGACTACCATTATCAATTGCATCTTGAAGGAAAATTACTTTTCTTTCCTTAGACATGCCTGCATCCATACTGGGATTCATTATGTCGATTGCAGACATTGCATGATGTAGACCGAACATAATTTCGTGTGCAACTTCCCCTGGAGAAAGGCATGACTTGCAGGATTCAAAAAACTGCACAGTTATATCTTTTTGGTATTGGTCCATATTTATGAATCTTCGGAGAGGATAAAGTTCCAAATAATACTAAATGAAACAGGCTCTCGAAAATGCACTGTTGTGCCTGCCCAGGAGCGCCGCCATACTGAACGCAACTCGGGAGAGCCGACGCTGCATTGGTTGTGGAACAATAGTGCAGCTGAAGTAACTGTCCTTCAGATAGCCAATCGCCTTTCTAGTTTTGTTTGTCCCTGCAGTAACTGTTGTGCCAACCGTGGATGGGTATCTGGTTTTCTTTACATGGACGCATATTTAGCAAGATTTTTTCCTCAGATTAATTAAACTAAATAGGTCAAATGATTGCAGCGTAAATGGCCTAATGTGGTACTCGAGTCCACAATGGGTTGCGACACATTGTGACTGTTAAGGCTCGAAATGACACGGAAAACTCAATAAAAAATAATACTACCAGCGATTAGAACTAAGTTGTTAAGTGGGTCCTAAAGACAGCTGATATGTGCACTTTTTTAATGACAACTAATAGGTTAGTGTAAATCGCGTCATTTCACTGTGAATTGTTAACGCTAATTTTGGAATCAAGTTGCAGAAATCTTAAGTATTTAAGTAGGAATCATACCTTGATTACATTTTAAAGATACTGTATGCTCTGCTTTAACTGAAAATTCTGAAAAGACACACGGTGCTGCAAATGAGACTGGAATTTTGGACTCTGAACCCCACACCATCGATCTCCACACGGTCCTTTTTCCAGGGGGAGGATTTTCTGAACATGGCTCTAATTTTTAGCCGTGTGAATTTTTTTGTCAAGGTAAAGAAGATGTTTACTTTTGAGTGTGTGAGGTTTTGGGAAATAAATTAGCTAAATATTCATTCGTATTCCTGCAAATTTAGTTTGACGTGGATAACATTTACACGCCTAATCTTGGTATCAATTAATTCAGGTCGTACGTCACCTTAATCTGGGCTTTCTTTCAGTTTTAGCATGTCAGGTTTAGACCCGATATATTGTAGTGGCTCTTTCTGCTTGTATGAGAGAAATTTAAAACGTATCTGTGTTCATTTTATGCGAAGTATACTCTGGCAAATAATCATTATTAGTCCCAATTCAGCTTTTTCGTTTCTCCTCCCATTTTGAAGCTTCCATCCCCTGACATCTTGCTAAGTTGTACTTTAACGAACTGTTCAGTGTTGAGAATTGAGTCTTCAAATTAAAAACGCTTGCCACTAATTTCCTTTTTAATTTCAAACATGGCACCATGGTGATATTTTCTTGCCCTGTCAAGCTGCTAACGGTGGTGACGGGCGGTTTGTTTATCGTATAATCCTTTAACATGTGAATGTGTTTCGCAATTAGTAGGAGAAATTTACTTGCGACACCTTTGTACAGCGTCAACTCTTGTGGCATCTGAAAAACTCATTGAAAAAAGTGAGTGCATTTAAGATAATAAAAACGGCTTTCTTGCACCAAAAGTAGCTTTACACATGTCCTATTGTTGATAAAGAAATGGAAGGTAAACAGCAAATGTGTCAACTTGTAACTGTGAAAGTGACGTTCCTTTTCACCGTAGGCTTACTCTAGACTTTTTTCGTTAAGACTATAAGCTCTATAATAGTGTTAAAAACAGTCTTCCAGATGTGGTAGCAACTCTGAGATGATTTTGCTGCAAAGTTAAAATCCACGATTTTCGATATTTTTCCCGATATGTCAAAGGCAGTTAAGACTCCTGTAGGTCATTTCCAACTCGCAAACAAATGTGTAAGATAGTTTGATTTATGCTGTACTTAAACTTGGCAATCAGTAAAGCCAGTCAGTCGTTTTTTGCAGTTTCAATTAAAACTTTACCATGGATTGTTAGGTTTCTATCTGAACAGGCAAATTGTTTTTAATATTTTCATTGGGCTGGAGAAAAAAATTGTATTCAAACTTACTGTTCACTTTGGGATGCCTCCGTTTTCGTTTCTTTGCTTCATTTAGATGGGACCAGAGAGTAAATACCAACATTGTCAACTTTATCACAATTTCAATGTGACTATCACCGTTAAAAAATATTTCCACGGTATCATTGAGAACTTCCAAAGAACGTTTGAAGAAAGGTAGTTGTTCAAATATCTGTGAACTTTGATGGGTTTACAGAAGAATCCGCACAATTGGCTTGGGCTTAGCGTCAGCTCAATTGGATGCGTATGTTGGCACATTTAAATCAAGCAGTTTTGTCAACACATCAGACGCGACTAATCGTTATAAGTCATGTTCGGCAGGCTGAATTACTAAGCGAGAAAGCTCATTCGAAAATATGCATTCATCCCACTTGCATTACATTAGTGTCCCCATTAACTAAGTTAAAATACATCGACAGCGTTTCGGGCTAAGTTATGCAGGAAATTATTCGGCGTGGTGGGAATTCATTCGATTCGTTATCTGCCCCATTTCTCTTTTCATGCACTAAATTTGTTTGGTTCTAAATAGGACGCAATTTTTAAACTTTGCATTGTTTTAAGTAAAATTCGGCTATGAACACAATCACTGTTGACAGATGGAACTACCTACCTATTTGAGCTCTTCACTTGAGTTAGTCTACCTGCTTCGGACGATCCAATCACGAAAACCATATATACTACTCATCGTTACGGTGTATGCTAAACTCACGACTGCAAACAATGGTAAATATTATCATTAACCACATGATTTTACCAGTATATTGTGATTTAAGGGTTATTAAATTACTGTGTCCTCCCAGCCTTAAATCTAAGTTTAAATTTAAAGAAAAATGTGAACTTTATTCAACAAAAGCACAGTAAAATGTACGAATAAAACTTAAAATACCTTAAACTAATTCACCAGAATAGCTCATTCGGTGTGTCGTAAAGGACAGTAGACATTTCTGGGTCATATTTCCTAGTGCACGCATTGACATAGCCTTTCGAACCGTAATTTTGTCCAAATTATTTGGATTTACTAAACTTCTAATGCGTAAAATGGAGAGGTAAGGGTATATTCAATGACAAAAGTTACATAATCGCCTTATTTTTGCAGTGAACTTGGATAAGTACTTAAACAAATATGGCTAATTAGTCTTCCGACGAATGTAAATGCCAACGAGATATGGGACTTTTAGTCATGTCCTGCTTGTGTAGTGTCTTGGTGAAAAAAAGATGCTGCCTTGTTCGTCATTCCGCCCACATTTGTTGGCATTTCTTTCACTTTTAAGCTGAGAAATTTAGCCTTTTCCAGTTGACTTTAACATCTGTATTTTCCCGCACACCTCTCGAACCCATTTGTTCACTGATCTAGCAGAGCCTTTTAACTTAGGGTATCAGATAACCTCATTATAGTTCGTGAGCAACATAAACCCAATGACTTTGTGCTGTCAATGTACTAATTGAGAGCGATTGCCTACGCAGTGCGACGCACATCTCCATCGCATTCACAAGCACCGTGGCAGCCCTGAGGTCAACACTTAACTCGACTCTCCTGGGACCCAGCTAACTGGTCACTGCGGTTATAGAACATCGCATCCACCCCGCGCCTCGCACATGTGAGTCACGCGGCTACAGTTTGCTTTAGGAAACCACATGTGGGGACTGGAACAGATGCTCCATAGGATAAAAGTTATGCGCGACACAAAAAACCAGTCGCTTCCTCCTTTTTAGTAAGACACAGTTTTGCATTAATTAGCAGTTACACAAGGCCAGAAGGAGATTGCGTTCTACTTATACAAGTCAGGCTAAATATTTACATATAATCAGGCGTTTTGGTTGATTTTTCTAATTAAATTGACAAAGCAGGGCTCTCACTTTAAGGAGGTGGGTATATTTTTCGGCTGGTGACTGGAATGCGTAATGAAAACAAATCGTACTTGATCCCCATCAGTACTAGAATCCGGTAATCGTCACCTGGTACTAGCTTTGGAAAAGCTAAGCATGTAAACACGCCGAACAAACATCGTAGCGGACTAGGGGCTCAAAATTTCGTGTCCGTGAAATAAAAACAGCTCATGGTAGAAGTTACAAGAGACTGGAAGGAAGAGCCTTGATTACTTCGGTGGCCACTTCTCATCCCAGTGATGTAAAGCTTAAAAGACCTTTGTTTTGAATATCCCTGGTTCAAGCACCATTTTATTAACTAACGGATTACTGCCTACAACAAGGCCTGATCGGATTTTAATTAAAACCTTAAGTGTTGATATTAACTTGCTTTGTGATTTTCTATTTTGCAGCGCTGTAGAGACGCCGCGACCAAGCAATCCCCTCGACAATCCTGAACACGAGAAATTCGGAAGTGCCGGTAGCCCACCTAATCTCTTCTTTTAGTTGGAATTCGTAGCCTTAAGCGTGGAAATTTTCCAATATAAGATTCTGGGCATGCTGGGAAGACACTGTAGCTAGCAGCAAGAAGCGTGAGCTAACACAATTCAATCGATTTTCGTCAATGCTCTTCACACAACTACGTGCATTCGGAGATCGATACTTAGCGAAGCTATATAAACGCACCTGCTATCCAATAGAAAACTCACATGAATTAGTTACTTAACTTGACTGGCGTGACTCTAATAAATGGTCGTGTTCTCTGTCGACTTCTTGCTCTTCTCGGGTTGTGACCGGCTGTTAACTGTAGGGTTGTGTGGTGGTGCTAAACTAGGCCGCTAAACTGAAATTGTACCATCAAATTAGGTGTCTTCGAGTATGCACATTTGCTGTCAGCAATACATTGTTTACTGGGTTATCGCACGGTATCTAGATGCTAGATTACAAACAGTTCATTGGTTCTTTTCAAATTAGCAATGCTGTCAAAATATTTTGATACCAGAAATACGCAGTTACTTATGGGTTAACGCATGATCTTAAATGCATTTCATGGTGTATAAGGGATGCGAATTCGGGCAAATATGACATTTTGGAGATTCCAAAGTAAAATATTTCAATTTTTACACTCGTACATGTAAATAGCCTGTGGCTTCATAAAATTATCTTCTACATGAATTGTCCTCTAAAAGTTGACTGCGAGGAAGACAACGTTTTCAACTAAA